AGTATGGGCCAATAGGCCCGCTGCAGTTTCCTCCATTCTTATGTTCTTATGTTCTTATGTGCTCATCTGTAACTTGAGAATCGATGGGAAAATTCTCGTTCTGTAATGTATCACGTGACCGTAATACTTATGGTTTCCCTTCTCAACCAGTGTCTTAGATGACTTACCGGCTTCTTCTCCTCGAGTCTGTAACCTAACCAGGGAGAGAGGAAAGCCGAGATCTTTAACAGGTTTTGTAGATAAGAAACGTAAATCACTTCTTATCATTTTTCTGGACAGCAATTTGGGCTGGATGTTGTTGTCTATATACTAACTGTGGCGGATGTTATCAGACTCGCTACTGACACGGTGGGAATCAATCTTGGTTCCTGTCAAGTATATAAGTGTGGCTAGTTGATGATGGAATATGTGACCAAGGAGGCGAGTTGCTTGCAGGCGTGGCTAGTGGTGGGATGTGTTTTTAGTAGGTGAGAGAGTAAGGTGTGGCTAGTGGGGGCTAAGTGTGGCCAGTGGGGACTAGGTGTGGATAGTAGGGGCTTAGGTGTAGCCAGTGCAAGGAAAGGAGTTAGATGTAGACAGTGGGGGAGGGGAGGGAGGGGGAGTTAGTTTTCGTCGGTGGAGGGAGTTGCGTATGGCCTGGGGACGAGATAGGTGTGGCCCAGGGCAAGTCAGGTGTGGCCAGCAAGTGAGCTTAGGTGCGGCAGTAAGGTGCGGCCATCCGTAAGATTGAAGGGCGGGTGCTGAGGCAAACCACCAGCGGCCCTTCTTAGCGTTGTTTACATAGCAGCGTTACATAACTCACCTCCGGCTCTGACACACACACACACACACACACTGAGAATAACTGACTCGTGTTTACAGGCTCTGATGTGTACAGTCTGCTAGAACAACTGATCCCTCGATAAAACGATGGTGTTGAAAATGTGATCAATAGAACCAACAACATTACACAGACCACAGCTGCCCAGAGTGGTTACAAGAGATGATACAATATAGTGTTTACCGTCGAGCTGGTCCCCTGTGGGTGGTCAGGGCGTGAGGACCTGTAGGAAACACCCCGGGGGTCCCAGTCTACCATGGGACCCTCAGGAGGACCTGCATTATCTCCTGAGCCACCTCTGGACGCCCCCGGCCCTCTGATACTCCAAGCTCACTCAAATGCGGTCAGCGAAACTAACCCGCCCTTGTTAGAGCAAGTGGAGGAGGGCGTGACTCCCCCTGGCCCCTGTGACAACGTCTCCCTCTCTACCTGGGACCACCAGCCCACCAACCAGCTCACCCCGCCTCCCATCCTCCTGTATCCGGAAGGTAAAGCAAAACACACACACACACACACACACACACACACACACACACACTCGTCATAATGCTAAACAGAGAAGAATTTATTGTATTCCGAGCGTATCAGAATTATTGTATTTACTTAGCTAGTAACTATATAGTTCCAATTAGACAGATATGACTTAAGAAAAAAATAATTCATTCAAGTATGTGTGTGTGTGTGTGTGTGTAATTGATAGATGAATAAATAATCACAGCCTAATTAAAGGTAATTCATCATTCTCCCGTCATCATCCTTCAAAACCACGTTCTCTCACCTTTCACTTCTTGCCAAACAAAAAGTTTCACCTCTCAGTATTGCGCTACACATCTCCGGCAGACTTAACTTCCCTACCTCCCCCCCCAAAAAAATATAATAAACACCTCCATTCGGTCAGAGTCTTGATGCATTTACCTCAGATTCTTTTCAGCCATAAAAATCGGTCTTTTTAGGTGACTGCAACACTCGGCCTCCACACAAATGCACCGTCAGGGAAGAACAAATTTTTCAGAGCTGTGAATTTCCCGCCTCGTCTTTGATTCTTCTTTTACAACGCGGAAGGATACAAGTAATCCATTTTCTCTCGCCAGTTCCGGAAGTATGAGTAAGAACCCGTCATCATAGTGAAGAACAAAAGCCCCAAATCTTTCGTCTTAGCTTTCGGAATATAAGGAATTTGGTTTGTCAAGTGAAAGACCTTACTGAGCCACGGATGAGGCGGAGATCTATCATCTCTCATAAGTCATTTCCTCAATCTTAACCCAATGAAATTACTCGGGAAAGGAACATGACAATGAGTGTTGCCGCTCTTGGAATTTAACAAACAGGATTTATTGGCACCTGTGTGGTTTATAAACACGAAATTGGCAGCAATATGATCTTGTCTGTCGAGGTAAATTGAATTTCTTGTTCCTCCATTACTCACCCGGCCATCAAACCACAGTGATAAATGAACAGTAACTTTATCATATAATTCTTTTTTTTTCATCCGTTTCATTTCTAATTGTTCTCGTATTTTTTGTTCATCAGTAAACTAGAAATATTTCCCTACAGTTAAACTCTGGTAAATGTTATTCACCTTTCATATCAATTTACTGTTTGTTGTTGTTTTTGTTGTTTGTATAATGGACTGGAATTTGCTCATCAAGAGTCAAGGTGTACCAGAGACCCGCCGGTACACTGCTCACATAACAAGGTGAAGGCCAGACCAGCAGACCTCTCTCCAGCCCCCTCCTTACCCAAGTCTCCTCACTACCACCACCACCACCACATTCTTAACATCTCATCCATAACCAACCCTTTAGAAACTTGCGTAATAAATTCATCCTTAACTGTAAAACAACCTTAAATTATCTCATTTCAAGTACGAGATCAATGTTATAATGAAATTTTATCGTATTATCAAATATTCCAGAGAAAAACAAAACGCTGTCTAGGAATCTTCCAGGACGTGGATCGTAACCCACATTGACATTCCCCCGTAAGGATCAGTAACCATCCGTATGCACCGTCGGATAGGGAGTCACTCGTGCCAGCCTCATAAAGCCATCGTGATCGGCAGTGCTATTGACATTTATGATATTGAGGGCAGTGATTGTGGTCTTTGTCGGCGCTGATATTACAGTGAAGGGACGGGTTTGATTTACTGTCCATAAGTTTAATTGCGCATAATAATAGACGACACTGACGGGATAATAGACGACACAGGCGGGATGGTGACCAGTAGAATCGAATTCGATCCAGATATAATAGTTACTGAGAAGGAGGATTCGATCACCTTATACCCATTCTAGGTATGTTATGTACGATGCTCTGATGATGAGTTCAAGCCAAGTACGTGTAAGTAAAGAAAGGTAAATAATAACATCTTTTTCTCCATTGATATCAGTGAATGTTCATTTCCCTTACGAATTGTGTCATTACTATTCTCTTATGGTTCATTTCCACCTGATGAATGTTTAGTATAGGTAATATTCACCTTATCACTAATACCAATTACTTATACTCATCAGTAACTCATCACAAACTCAACACTAATACTCACCACTAATACTCATAACTAACTCATCACTAATACTTAACATTAACACTCCCCACTAATATCATCACTAATATACTGTGTAATCTTGTTTCACCACATCACAAAGCGTTGTCACCACCCTGAATCATGTCTTTAAAGGGGGGGGGGGAGGGAAGTTAACTAGATAATTTAAACTATTGGGGCAGAGTCTATGAGCTGACCTTTGACCTCTTGGGAAAGCTGCAGCCTATTGGGTTAACCTGATCCACTAATGATAGAGGTGGTGCTTAGAAATTGAGGTGAGGCACTGTTATGAGGCGAGGCATTATTTTGAGGTGAGGCGTTGTTATGAGGTGAGGAGTTGTTATGAGGCGAGACACTGTTATGAGGTGAGACACTGCTATGAGGCGAGACACTGTTATGAGGCGAGGCACTGTTATGAGGCGAGGCACTGTTATGAAGCGCGAGGCACTGTTATGAGGCGAGGCACTGCAAGAGAAAACAACTGTTATGAGAAGACCTTTTTACTGTTATTAGAGAACTACTTTGAGGTTAATATTACGAATAGTAGACGAAGTGCTATAGGCATTTCAGCATTTTTATATAAAGTAACAATAATAATAATAATAATAATAATAATAGTAATAATAATAATAATAATAATAATAATAATAATAATATACAGACGTGAAGTGTATAGTAGTGTTGATGACCATATTAGTTTTGTTAAGAGTATTCAGTTTTGTTCCATAATCATACGAACAAGGCTAAAGTATCTTCTTCACGTGTTATATTGGAAATTGTATATTTGTACGGTCTATGTACACTGTAGATATGATATTGTGTCTCACTACAGCATTTGGGGCGCTTGGGATACGGTGTCAATAGGCACATCATGGTCATAAGAGCATCGGCAGTACGAGCAATCAGTAACACCGAGATTTCCCCTTCAGCCTCAATGCCTCCTGCCCGTGGTAGTGCGAACAATGGTTGTGTTAACATGGTTGTGCAGTAGTTGTGTCTCCGTGCAGGTGCTGTGGCTGGTGAGTTACCGGCCAGACCTGGTGTTGTCCAAGACTTGAACTGGTCCTAGGTCTTATCGTGGGAGAATCCTGGGGATCTTAATTTGGTCTTTTGTTTAGTCTCTCTGTTTCTCTTTCTCCCTATACCTTTGTCTTCCTGTTTGTTTCTTTCTCTCTCTATTTATCCCTCTCTCTCTTTCCCCCTACCCACCCTCTTTCCACACTACGATCTTCTGACTATACTAACCTTTTCCTCCCTCTCTACCTGCCTCTCTCCCTCCTTCCCTCCATCTCTTTACTCCTCTTGAGATCCTCCTCCCTACCTTCTCCTTCCCTCCCCCCCCTCACTCCTCCTGAGAACCTTCCCCACCCCCTCTCTCCTTCCCTCCCTCTCTCCTTCCCTCCCTCCCTCCCTCCTTCCTTCCCTCCATCCTTTCCTTCCCTCTTCCTAAGAACCTTCTCCCTCCCTGCCTCTCTACCTCCTGAGAACCTTGCCCTCCCTTCTTTTCACTCCCTCTCCCCTTCCTCCCTTCTGAGAACCTCCCCCACACACCCACATGCTCAGAGACCGTAAAAGTACCCAGGAAATGCCACGCCTCCACCAGGCTCCGCTAACCTCCTCTTCTTCCCTCGCCAGATGGTAGCTGCGTCAAGGGCGGCATGACTGGTGGAGTACAGGAGGTGGAGGACCTTATCCACCTGGCAGGACCCCTCACGGAGGATGCTGTCCTCAAAACCCTACACGCCAGGTTCTGCTCATCACATTATTTTGTAAGTACGAGATGTTGTTTTGTGTGTGTGTGTGTGTGTGTGTGTGTGTGAGGAGGCTGCCTATATCTCTATGTATATATATATATATATATATATATATATATATATATATATATATATATATATATATATATATATATATATATATATGTACCAGTAGAAAGCTGAAGACCATTGGGTATTGCAACACTACTATGCATCTGTAAACACTCACACATATACACAATTCTTTTAAATGAGAAGGCTTTACCGTTTGCAACATCACTTACTTTGCATACATATGAACTTACATGTTTTGTATCTCTCTCTCTCGTGATCCATCCACCAACCTTCCTATTTCTACTGCACATATCAACCAAGACTCACATGGTATACGTTTTTCTTTACCATTTCTCTTTATTTCTAGTGTCTACCCCCATCCCTCACCCCCCCATTCCTCACCCCATCCTCACCCCTATCTCTCACCCCTCACAGCCTCGGCGTCACTCACCCTCACCCCCTCAATAAATAAAGGTCCCCAGAGTAGCACATTTAAGTAGCGAGACACAGGGATCAAGGAACAGCAGCAAGGTGTGAGTAACATGTAACTAGGCATAAGGAACACAAGCAGCGTGGTAGTAACAGGACACAGGGAACGTGGAACAGTAATGGGAAGTAGCGGTACACAGGGAACATGGAACAGTAGAGGGGCTGATTGGCAGGAAGTCAGGTCAAAGGTGAGGGGGAAGTGGTCTTCTTCCCCAACACCACAGCCTCCTGACCCACACCACAGCCTCCTGACCCACACCACAGCCTCCTGACCCACACCACAGCCTCCTGACCCACACCACAGCTTCCTGGCCCACACCACAGCCTCCTGACCCACACCACAGCCTCCTGACCCACACCACAGCCTCCTGACCCACACCACAGCCTCCTGACCACAGCACCAGCCTCCTGACCCACACCACAGCTTCCTGGCCCACACCACAGCCTCTTGACCCACACCACAGCCTCCCTGACCCACACCACAGCCTCCTGACCCACACCACAGCCTCCTGACCCACACACCACAGCTGGTCTCCTGGCCCAAACCACAGCCTCCTAGCTCACACCACAGCCTCCTGACCCACCATATAGTCTCCTGGCCCTCACCACAGCCTCCTGGCCTACACCATAGCCTCCTGACCCACACCACAGCCCCCTGGCCCACACCACCACCTCCTGGCCGACACCAAAGCCTCCCTGGCACACACTTGCTCTCCCTGCCTCCCTTAAGCAGAGTCTAAGTCCCTTACACCGAATGACTCTCTCTCTCTCTCGCACTTAACCACTCAGAGGCAGACATTCATTCATTCGGGTAATCGCATTATCATCACATTCCCACGACTCTTTTAAGATAACGTCAACAGCGGTTCAGCTCCTCTTGTAAACTTCCCCGTGGTATTTACACACCGGGTGTCACCCTCTTGCTCCTGTTAGGGGACACAGTTCGTGATATCAAAGCTGTGTGTGTGTGTGTGTGTGTGTGTGTGTGAAATGTATCTCAGGCACATCACAGACGCACTCACCTCACTGTGGGGTTCCTCCTCTCGTCTATACCCCCGACATGCCACAGATACACTTTACAAACCACAAGCACTCCAACCATCAGTCACACTCTCCACACCGCAGGCTATACCCTCAGCATACCACAAAGTCGACATGCCCACAGCACCTTCTCCCATCTAAACATTACAGGAGGCTAAGATGCAGTGTGTCTGGGGATAAATCTTAGCGACGTGGAAACAAGTTTTATTATTATTTTTTTATTTGTTTTTTTTAATAGAAAGGTAGAGATTTGAGGTTGGTGTGTGGTGGTGGTGATGGGGGAGAGGAGTGGGCGTGGCAGAGGATGGGGCGGGGCAGAGGATGGGGCGGGGCAGGGGGCAAGGAAGGGGAGGGGGCGATGCAGGTGGAGGGGGCGGAGCAGGGGGAAGAACAGAGCTAGACCCACCTAGACATGTACTTTGTTTTCACGATGAGTATAATTGCATATCTTCCTCTCGTCGCCTTCATTTTCATTTATACACACACATCACGTCACATACATACCCGCCATTATACTTCGCTGCTTCATGTGATATCATTTATGCCTATGTCTACTCTCAGTCTGAGTTATGAAGTCTTTGTTATTTATGTGTTTCTCTCCCTCGCCATAGACCAACGTGGGTCCAATCTTGTTGTCGGTGAACCCTTATCATGAAGTGGGTAACGCCCTCACCCTCACGTCGACGAGGGCGGCGGTGCAGAGCCCTCACCTCCTACGAGTCGTCCACGAGGCCGTTCGCCAACAGAGCGAGACCGGCTACCCACAGGCCATCATCCTCTCAGGTAGACACAATCCCTCCGTCTGGTTTATTTTCTCACTGGATTCTCTCACACTCCCTCACTGAGTCCCTCCCGTTGCTTTCTTTTCCACACCTGACCTCTTGCTGCCCAGGTACAGTAGTTGTTTCTTGTCATCTTTCTTTTTTCCCCCGGACTAAATTCTCCCTCCGCCTGCACCCAAACTAATAAACTATATCCTCCCTCCTGATTGACATTCTACACGTGTCCTCAGCTGCATAACCTTAGGTAGTCTTTTGTACTATGCAAATATTTAGCCTTCATTTATTCTGGCATTTGTCCATCTCTAGGAGCCCCCGGCCATCTCTCTTGTCTTGTCATCCCACCAGTTGTTCAGGCTCCCACTTTCTTCGTCTGGCGCTGTCTGCCGTTCCTTGACATCCAGTCCATCTTTTAAATTCTCTCCTCTTTTGTTTCACTCCCTTTTCTATGTCTAGTTTCGCTATTGTTGTTGAATCACGGAAGGTAATTTTTAAATGTGCTTCAAGACTCACTCCATCCACCCTGAATCACTCGCCAGTTCCTTATCCTCCGTCACTTCCTATGCTTCTCTGCCACCACTCCATCTAACTAGTCCGTGTTATCATGGCACACGACGTATATTTATATCTATTTCATTCTATGTTATCGTACTGTTATAAAGAGTTATCCCTGATATTCTGGTATATTTCTTCAGGTCTTCTCAGTGCCACCCGGTTATTCCTTATTGTACTAGAAAGAAAGATACATATTATTTCATTTTGTTCATTTTGAAGCAACAATTCATCATTACGTTTGAAGAATCCTTAATGTGTTTTCTGTGAATCTTTCTTTCACTTTGAGATATCAACACAATAAAGCAGATATTGTCAGGTTCTGTGGACTGGACGATAAAAGTTCTACAGAATCAATACTTTTGTCACTTATTCGGTTTTTACATTTATCACCTCAAGCAGTTGTTATTTTGGCAAGAAAATATTCACCTTTATTTCTCCTCAGGTGCTTCCGGGTCGGGCAAGACCTACACGTCGATGCTGTTGTTGCGGCAGCTGTTCGACGTGGCGGGCGGCGGGCCCGAGACGGATGCCTTCAAGCACTTGGCAGCAGCTTTCACAGTGCTTCGTTCTCTCGGCTCCGCAAAGACCAGGTCCAACTCGGAATCTAGTCGTATTGTGAGTCATCCTCAGTTATCTGACTTTTCTTTATTCCATTGTGCAAGTTAATTTGATAATTTTTTTATAAAATAATATCATGTTTGTACAAATTTTACTACAAAGATTCATCTAATATCAGGAACTTCGTTCGTCCTCCAACTGTCTCCAACCATTTCGCCTCAACATCAATATATGTTTAATATTCTACATCCAATTTTAGTTATGAGTTAATTTAATATATATTGATATTGCCATTGACAAGATAAGGTGACTAAAGCAGTGTCTCACCTCCGTAGGGTCATTTCATAGAGGTGCAGGTGACAGATGGGGCGCTTTACAGGACCAAGATCCACTGTTACTTCCTGGACCAGACACGGGTGGTGCGGCCGCTGCCTGACGAGAAGAACTACCACATATTTTACCAGATGTTGGCAGGACTCACGCAGGAGGAGCGAGGTCAGTCAACCAGATGCATGAGGCACCTGGAACAAAACAAAATAGTCCAAGGTTATAGACCGAGAATGACTTAATATAATGTTAATAAAACCGTAATAATCTGATTTCATTTCATTCATACAGTATGATAAGGGAAAAAGGTGTTACTGTACCATTGTTCTTTTCTCTTAGAACACCGTCCCCATTAGCCATTAGGTGGGGCTGTAAGAGAGGTGTGACGGGGTGTGACGTGTAAGGGTGTGCGTAATAGTGTGTTATTTTTCCTCAGCCAAGTTACACCTGGAAGGACACAGTGTGAGGACACTACGGTACCTGAGTGAGGGGGACGTGCGGCAGGACGAGGCTGAGGACGCCCGCAGGTCAGTTTTCACTCCCACTTACTCTTACGGGGGAGGAGGGGGAAGAGGCAGAGGTAAATACACATGGATATCATTAAATGCATCCCCCCCTCCCCCGCACACACGCATTTGTTATTATTATTATGTTTAACTAAGTATAAGACTGTCCCCAGCAGGATCACTGTGTAACTGACGTAGGTGTGCCCTCAGGTTCGAGTCGTGGAAGGCCTGCCTGGGCGTGCTGGGGATCCCCTTCCTGGATGTGGTGCGGGTCCTGGCAGCTGTCCTCCTGCTGGGTAACGTCACCTTCATCGAGGGCCAGGGACTCGAGGTCGATATCCAGGGTGGCAGTCATGAGCTCAAGGTATTGCTCCAGACTTATACTCCGTCATCTCTTCTCAATCAAAAATCATGTCCATGTTGCAAATATTTTAGACATGTCGCATTGGTGCCATGTTGAAAGTGTTGTTTTTTTACGTGCAGTTTTTCATCAGCAAACCCACACAAATTACCATAGTACAATAAGCAACCTTTCGTAGACATTACAGAGGAAGAGTAGAGTGACTTATTCAGTCTCGGTGTATAAACAAGTGTTGGAAATGGTCTCTTGTCTTAATCGATGCATGTGTGGGTTTGCTGTTAACCAACACAACATGAGTGCCTGAATCTCTGCTATTCGGATATCAGTTCTGAAACAATTTTTTATTTCCTGTGAATTTATCGAGATATTATAGTAGTATCAGGTAATGTATGTTGACAATTGACATTAGAGCGTGTGTGTTGTGACCGTCAGAGTGTGGCGGCGCTGCTGGGGGTATCGTCGGCGGCGCTGTACCGAGGCCTAACCACCCGCACACACAATGTTCGTGGCCAGCTCGTCAAGTCCATGTGTGACGCCAACATGGTCAGTACACTCCCTCTCTCGGCTTGTCTTCCAGTGTTCCTTTTTTCATCTGTACTAATTGTGCTTTGTTATGTAACGTATACATTGATATTGAAGTTAGAAAGTAGTTTAATTTCTAGTCGCTCATATCAGAGTGTTGTCTTAAGTCAAGAGCCTAACCTGCCATTAACAAACAACGAAGATCAAATGAGAATACGATAAAATTTCCAAAAAGTCTCGCAACTCTCACATTGTTTACTTTACCCTCCCTCTAGTTCGCAGTATTCGACAGCTTACTTTGCTCTTCTTCCTCAGTCGAACATGACCCGGGACGCCCTGGCTAAGGCCCTCTACTGCCGGACCGTCGCCACCATCGTCCGCCGTGCCAACTCCCTCAAACGGCTTGGCTCTACCTCAGGCACCCTCTCCTCCGACAGGTGAGTCCTCTCCGCCCTTACTTTGATCACCTGGATACACGACTTTCGGTATGCTGAGTCTGGTGCACTGATCAGCTTATGTGGGGATACTTGACTCTGGTACACTGATCAGCTTATGTGGGGATACTTGACTCTGGTACACTGATCAGCTTAACTTGTATTAAGGCAGTTTAATCACCGTGTTGTTATGTTACAGCAACGAGAGCGTGCACCACCAGGCCGAGGTGGCGTCCCAGCACGCGTCCACGGTAGGCACGGCTGGCTCCAAGGCCTCCAAGTCCATGAGCGTCCTTAACAACGCAGTCAAGCACGCCACGGACGGCTTTATCGGCATCCTCGACATGTTTGGCTTCGAGGATCCTAAGGTGTGTGTTTCAGCAGCTATATTGGTCTTGTGTTTCACTGATGCTGAGGGGAGGATAATTTATCTCATTGGTTATGAAGAATTTGCCAGATGTCTCATATTTCCCAAGAACTCCTCGTGTGTCTCATTGAGCCAGCCATATTTATAGAAGTTGAAACCTGTTGAAAAAAATAACAATTATGACATTGAGTAAACACTGTGATATCAGTTCACTCATCTATCATCATTACTCAAACAGGTAAAGTAACATAATGCTTAGTCAGGTGTGTGTTATTAATCCACTGAACACCTGTATATCTCTCCCTTCCTCACCCCCAGCCGTCCCACCTGGAACACCTGTGCATCAACCTGTGTGCTGAGACGATGCAACACTTCTACAACACTCACATCTTCAAGTCATCTATCGAGTCATGTCGAGAGGAGGGTATTACCTGCGAGGTCGAAGTCGATTATGTCGACAACGTGCCATGTATTGATCTCATATCGTCCTTGGTAAGTTCCGAGTCAAAGAATTAATGGTTTTTGTAAGTCATAACAGTTTTTTGTACATTGAATTTCATTATGTATTACTGTATATTATGATCATAATAATAAATAGATAAACATGAAGTCTTGTTAGACGATGTCATTCACTGTATCTTTTCACGCCCCTTCACGAGTTATCAACCTTTTCTGATTGTCTTCCCTTATTACCTGTAGATGAGTGATGGGTCTTTCTCGTGAGTTAACATACTCACCTAGAGGTAATCTTTCCTCCTGGTATATAATGCTAACATGTTTATGTTCCCTTCGTACTGTTTATTAAGCTTATATTTTTATACTCCTCCTATTTTATTATGTCCACCTGGTAATGCTCCCTCCTCACAATAAACACTGACGGTAGTGTTACGTCCACAGCGCACGGGTTTACTGAGTATGCTGGACGTGGAGGGGTCGGTGAGAGGCACCCCTGAGAGCTACATCCAGAAGGTCAAAGTCCAACACAAAGGCAATATGAGATTATTCGAGCCTAAGGCCAACCACATCAGATCGTTTGGCATCCACCACTTCGCCAGTAGAGTCATCTATGATGCTTCAGACTTCCTCGGTAAGCCAAGTGAAAACTGGGTTAGGTGAGAATGTCTTAACTGTTGCCACACTACGAATATATTGTTTGTAGGAACGATAAATTTCCAGACACAAATGCTGTATAACTATATTCACACTGTGTTAATCTTAATTTCTTTCAGATACCAACCGAGACATCATCAGCGACGACCTGGTGTGCGTCTTTCACAAGCAATCGTGTAACTTCGGCTTCGCGACGCATCTTTTCGGGTCAGAGTTGAAGGCTCTCTTTTCTCAAGACCCGGTGCCCAGGGGCGTCTCCTTCCGCATCAGCCCCACCTCGCATACAGATCTGTGAGTAGTTGCTCAAGGTGGCAGGTGGCATGACTGTGTAAACTGTGCTAGAAAACAAAAGTCGGGTGGATGTTTGAGGCATCTGCTCGACGTGGATAGATATTTAGATAGATGGAAAGATAAATGGATAATTAGATAGAAAGGTAACACATTGATAGAGAAAGAGATAGTTAAATATATTTATCTCTGCCAAAAATTTTGTTTAGGTAATTTTTTACGTTTCTTTAATAATTAGGTCATGTTGATCACGAATCTGACAATGGTTTAGTCATACTGTCAATAGTTTTTGATGAAAATAGGGAACAAAAAAATATCATATATTCGGGAATTTGTTGAATTTCAATCAATATTTATAGGTATTTGTTATAACTATGTATATTAATATTTATTTGAAGATAATGATCCATAAAATAAACTATAAATAATATAACTATAACTACTACATATAAATATTTGTATAATCTGTCATTTCTCAAAAACTATCGTGAGTATGACAAAACCATTGTCAGATTCGTAATCAGCATGACCTCGTTAGTAAATAAACATCTACTCAACATTACAAAAACATAAAATATTAGTAGTCTAACAAAACACTTGAGGATACACCTGGCAATGCTGATTGTAGGTGGAGACTTTAAGATGCTAACACTCTTGCTTGGACTACAAGCTGGATATATCAAGTATTCTTGCTTCTTTTGTCAATGGAACAATAGAGCAGATGACCAGCACCATGTGAGAAGAGAATGACCTTTTAGAACCACATTAATCCCTGGATGTTCTTAACAATACTCTCGTCCAAACAGAGATTTTATTGCCGCCACTACACAGAGTTTTTAAGTTGGGACAGATGAATAAAAATATAGATTGTACAGTAATAGCAATGTTTACCAAGTATTTCTTTTCGTGTTTACCAACGTAACATTTAATCAGCCTCTCCCTTACCTTCACCTAGACAAAATGGTGACGAACCGGTGTCGACGTTGACGCAGGACTTCCATACCCGCCTGGACAACCTGCTGAGGACGCTGGTACACGCTAAGCCCCACTTTATCCGCTGTTTACGCTCCAACTGCTCAGAGAAGGCCGCTATGTTCGATCGTGCTACTGTCATCAAGCAGATCCGCGCACTCCAGGTAGGTGACGCTCTTGGGTTTTACAGAGATAGACAGGTGACGGAAGGTGTTAATAGGGGGTCGACATTCGACAACTTGTATAAAGAAAGGCCTTACTACACATGCAAAGAAACTTTATATTCATGGAAGGAAACTAATATATGATGGTTATATTTGCCCTTTACAAAGCTGATATTCAGGTTAGTGTTAATTTTTCACACAATTGCTTAATGTTTGATGATTTGTATAGGAAGAATCTCTAAACTGCATGCCCAAGGCAATAAATTGATCAGCAGTGCATAGGAAAACACACATTAGTGTCCTGTCATAACATAACTAAGAGTGTGACCTATGACTCTCACTACCAGGTGTTGGAGACAGTCAACTTGATGGCAGGAGGTTATCCTCACCGCATGCGATTTAAGACTTTCAACATACGCTATCGGTTACTGGTGCCCTTCAAGAAGCTGCGTCGCATCGAGGATAAGACAGTGGACGACTGCAAGCTCATCCTCGAGTACTTTCTGAGATCACTGGAGGACATAAACAAGTCCTCCACAGTGGCCATCCAGTGGGCGCTCGGCAAACGACATATATTTCTCAGGTAAAATTAATGTAATTGTCATTATCAGGCGAAAAGTTGAAAGTCAGAATAGCTCCTTTCAATCTGATTTAGATCATGAAACTTGTTGACAAATAAAATCTTTTGGGGGGTTGAAGTTATATTAAAATTTGAAACGTCACAGATTACATTATCTCATATACTGTAGGAATAGCCGTGTGTGTGTGTGTGTGTGTGTGTGTGTGTGTGTCTGTTCTGGGCAGCTGAAACGGCACAATCTTTTTTCATCAAACTTGGTGGAAAAATCGCAAAAAATTCGTATAGTGGAACAAACCTGGTCCCATGTCAATGGTTTCTTTAGGAAGGCATTAATTAGCCATTTTATTTACAATGGAAAACGATGCAAGTCTACGGACTTGGCACACCCTAATTAACCATGCAAGTCTACGGACTTTGCACACCCTCATTCGCTGTACGCTGTCACGAGCGTTCAAACTCTCACAAGGGCACGAACGTGCCCGCGATCACTGTATTTTATTCTATTCCTCTTGTTCAGTCAATGGAGACTTGTGAATGTTATCTGTAACTTCCTCTCTATCTCTCTATGACAGTGAGGGAGCGAGACAGCAGCTGGAGATGTTACGGATAGAGATGAGACACCGGGCAGCGACCCTCTTGCAGTCTGTGTGGCGTGGCTGGCATTTCAGACGGAGGTGGCCCACGCTCAAGAGGAACCTTGAACTCAGAGCTCGCTCACGCACTGTTCGCCCACGCCCACAACCCATAGCAGGAACCCCCCCGCCCGACGTGATGGACCGATGTGACCAGAAGACCATCCAACAGACCTGTTCGTTATTTGGTCTGGACCTGGTAAGTTTACAGCAGGTTACACACAATGACATCTCTGTCGGTTTTAGTGGCAGTGAAATTTACTCTTTATAGAGGTAGTGTATAGATCAAGGTATATGTTTATATTTCATCTTACTTATTTCTTAGTTAACCTATACACTTTAGATTTAGTTACTATCCACAGTACTGTGTGTGTGTGTGTGTGTGTGTGTGTATGACTCATGATTATACTTAGAGAGCTTTACCATAAGATAAACAATTATAAAGGTAAAAAAAAAAAAAAAAAAATTCACACCAAAATCAACCGTGATGTTTTGCGGTATAGGACAGAACAATGATCTAATAAAGTGAAATATACTGACCCTAAACGTAACTGTCCTGGTGCAGGAGAGGCCGCCGCCGGTACCCCCCAGTAGGTCGTACACCATCAGCGGGAACCACAAGATGGGTTACCCCCAGACACGGGTCATGAAGAGGAACTTCCCTGGTGAGTCCAGCCCCCTTCCTCTCTTGAATATGTCATCAAGTTAAAGAATGTCTGTTATTCTGTGCTACTAGAATCAACCTTGCAAGATATAAGTTACTGATAAAAATTGAATGTCCTTAGATACGGTGACTACCTTTCATTTAATTTTTCTTAACACTTTTGCTGTTTTGTTGTTAATGGTATTCTTGATAAATTGTTTTATTCAATACATGAGTATCTTCTCAGGCCAGTTATGGCTACTGAAGTAGACAAAATACGTCCATACATAATGATATTTGATAGCCATTATTAATATCAATTTCGTATCTGAAAACATTTTTCCCAAATTACTTCACAAAACTGTTAGTTTTATGAAGAAGAAATAAAAGAATTTCGTGGTGTTTAAGTGTTAATGGTAATTCTCTTATGTTCTATGTACAGAGGAAGGTGGGAGCGACACGGTACTACTGAAGGGGGAGTCAGTGGTGGTAGTGGGCGCCTCCCCCCGGCGAGGTCACCTCCTCGTCGATCATCAGGGCCACTCCTTCCACGTTCCATTCCAGTACATGGAGCTCAAACCTTCAGCTCAGCCGGGAGTCAACATATAAAGTCTCCGTCAACAAGTCATGTGTCGCTTAAGGTGGAAAGCCTCGGCGGAGAGGTGAAAATCGTGCGACAAAAGCGGAGACGTCTCGCTGAGCTCTAACGATGTTTTGTCATCTTTAGACAGAAGTCACAGCAGTGGCCGAACGTCTTGGGGAGGCTCGAAGCAACTCACTGTGATCAGCAGGGCTATGACACACCACTCTCAAGTCGTCACCTATAAGTTGGTGAGACGAGGACTCACAGAGCCGTGAGTGGTGTGGCACTCGGTGTACGCGGGATATCACAACAAATCAGAAGCTTATGTTGACGCTCATCAGTGCGCAAAGTGAACTAATCTCTGTTTATATGTGTTAGATAAAGACTTGTGCGAAATAGATGAATTAACGCAATGTGATGTTATTCAGAGAATGGCGGAACCAGTCCTCCCCCTCCCGCCCCCGGACCAGTGGTGCCGCCCCCCTCCCCTCTACTACCAGCGTCCACGACCACCGTATGTGTGTCCTATTAGCAGTGTATAACTGAGTAAGGATTCCTGTAAATATATATTTGTATGTGCCAATATTGTTAGGTATTTTTATAAGTTTATTGATATACCTCGTTACTTATGTATGTCGTCGAATATTGTAAAAAGTAAGAAATTTGTTACTACATCTTTTACAGATTCTAAGAGTAAGTGACATTGATGATAAACGCATTTCGACCCCTTAAAGTTGGTGCTACAAGCTTTTAGAACCCGTGTCGTGTGCTCTCTCTGGCTTGTAAGTCTTCATCCTTCCCGACCCTTCTTGTTAGTCTCTCGAAGTACTCCACAGTATTATCATCTTATGTTAACCCCGTAATGTGAGGCTTGAATGCCACCACTCCCTTGCATCTCTTTATCATCCCATCAACTATGTCTGTCTGTCTGTCTGTCATCGTTGCCGAGTGCTTTATCCTCTCTCTCTCTCTCTCTCTCTCTCTCACTAACTTCCAATACCTTTGCAACTTCGTCATTTGTTTCACTCAAATTATCATATTTATTCCATTCACTTGTTTCATCCTAATTATTATATTTTACTACATTTCCTGTTTCATACCAGTTAATACATTTTCTTCATTCACTTGTTTCATCCATCACCTCACAGTCACCCATTTCAACCCGTTACTCAGCTTCTAATCTATTCCATCTCTATTTACTCCCAACCCTTTAGTTTCACCCTAAGTAAATTGTTTCACTCACACCTTGCATTTCACTGTCACCCTTTCGCAGTTTTTTTTTTTTTGCCTTTTCATCCCTTTTTTTCTTCTCGTGTCCAATTTACTCTTGTTTACATTCCCTGTTCCCCGTTTCACATCAATCGCTCGTTTCATCTCGACCTTGTGTCTCGTTTACCCCCAACACCACTTCCCACGTTGCATCTAGTTCACCTTTCACATATATCATCTCTCTTTCTCTCTCTCTCTCTCTCTCACTCTCTCTCCTTACACTCAACCATTCCCCCAAGTCCCTCCTGCTAAGATAACCTTCCCAACCAGTGGCCATAATCAGGCGAGGATGTGCTCAAGGTGTACATACCGGTGTGTGTATATAGTGTTGTACAGTTTTGTGGTTCGTGTTTACTAATACTCAGCATACTCTTGTGTCGTGTGTACAATAATATCTTGCGTGTAAGTTAGCGTTGACAGTGTTAAAAAAATGTCACACTTAAGTAGGAACAACACTCGCGTGAAGTAAGCAAATCAAGCACACTCTCTCTCTCTCTCTCTATCTCTCTCTATCTCTCTTTTTCTTCATCTCTATCTCTCTCTCTCTCTGAAGAATGCTCCGCCATGCTTCAAGACACACACTTGCTCCCGATACCAACAGCCAGTCAGGTGCAAAAACATAAACAAAAATACGTCACTGGCTCTGTATGTGTATTCAGGATAAAAATATAAAACAAAAAAGTTATAAAAAAAATATCAGATTTAAAAAAAAAAAAGAATAATAGGAGGATACTTATGAATTTATGGAAGCATTTATGTTAAGCGTCATTGGTTGAGACATGTGCCAAATAAGCTTAGAAAACTTATTTCATCCTCCTCCTCCTCCTCCTCCCTCCTCTCCTCCTCCCTCCCCCTCCCTCCCTCCCTCCTCCCTCCCTCCTCCTCCCCTCCCTCCTTCCCTCCTTCCCTCCCTCCCTCCCCCCCTCCCCTCCCCCTTCCTCCCTCCCCCCTGTCCCTATCCACCTATCTACCTACCTTAAAGGGTAATTGTGTTCTTGACCTTCCAGCTTAGTCTGTCTATAAGCTCCTGTCCATTACTCAGCTTTGTCTTCCCTCCTCCATAACCTGTTGTTGTTATTATTGTTGTTGTTGTTGTTGTTGTTATTGTTGTTTATATCTTTGTTTTCATCTCTCTTACAGTCATTAACTTCTCCTTCAGTCTCTCCACCTGTTTTGATCTCCATGTTCATACACCTGTTCAGCTCTCCATGTTTACACACCTGTTCAGCTCTCCATGTTTACACACCTGTTCAGCTCATCTATATATATTCAAAAGCGACCAAGACTACTTTCACAGTACAAAGAAATTCATTTAGATAATCTTAAATGAATTTCAATCTTTCCTTAGAGATACAATTTGGTTTTGAGTATTTAAACCGCACATGACAAACCAGAGTTAAAGTGATCATAATAAACCTACCACATTCTCTCAATCCAAAGTAACATAAACCTCAAGTGATAAACCCTTAAATATAAACCACGAGATTATAAATAAACCCTTTAACTAATATGACTCATTAAAATGGCCAGCTTACCCGAGACAACAACGCCTTTAATTACCTTACATATCAATACAATTTACGTCTTTATAGGTAAAGTGTCCAATATAACCCTGGTATATTATAATCAAAACATGGTGGAAGACTAGGAGTTAACTATATTATATTACCTTCCCTTAAGTGCTGATGTATACCTACTTTCTTGAGAATTAATACGTAAAAAATACTATTAAGAATTTTTCCAACGCTAAAATATTTCGATTGAAGTTATTACCTAAGTTATGTTTTTTTTATTGAAAATTTAAACTTATAATACTCAATTTATAATACTTTTAAACCAGTTACTAAAGATGTTATACCAAAAAATATAACCCGGGGAAATATCTGGGAGGAAAGAAGTGAATTAAGCTCAGTAGATATAATACTTTAGTTACGTAGAGTCGTGTCATATTATTAAACGAAGAAAAATAATGTCATTTTAATCTATCGGTTACTGAAAGGAGGGTCAGTAATCATCAGGTTCAGGGGTTCTGTAACAGGTTCGAGGGTTCAGTAATGGGGTTCAATCAGATTCAAGGGTTCAGTTATAGGTTCAGGGGTTCAGTAACAGGTTCAGGGTTCAGTAACAGGTTCAGGGGTTTAGTAATGGGGTTAGTCACAGGTTCAGGGGTTCAGTCACAGGTTCAGGGTTCAGTTATAGGTTCAGTAACAAGTTCAGAGGGTTAACAGATTTCGGGGTTCAATAAGAGGTTCAAGGGGCTTAGTATTAGCCAGAGTCAAGGGTTCACTAACACAAGGATGTAGGACAACTCTGCCAGGAACAAACAAATGTATTGGTTCTCCTGATAAGGGTTGTAGTGGCTGTATCTGGCTTTTGTGATTTATTCCTGAAATCTGATTCAACTGGAGTTTGAAAGAGTATTATCCATCATGAAATACAGTATGTCACGCCTAGATGAGCTCTATATAATGATCATGTGAAACTATCTTATTTTTGACTCGCCTCGTCCCATGACTGACACAATTTTTTTAGTAAGACTGGAAGTAGTGATGATTAATTAATATTGCAGGGTAATGTTCTTTGACTGTTACCGTCTTCAGGAAGCATCAGCACAATCTACAATCTTCTCCTTCCTATACTTTTATCCTCTTTGTCACTGATCGGCTCGTTAGCCGCTTGGGTTTCTCTCTCTCCCCGTACCTTCCTCTCGGGTAAACATCAGCCTCTCTTTACTGGCTGTGTCCCCTCCCCTACACGCCTCTTGACAGTTGCACATGGAACCAAAGAAAAAATTTTCGGGGTGGCGAGCTCAGGCCGCCTTCACCCTCGTCGCAGCCGCTCACCGCCGCCTGGCCGTTGTAACTGTCGCATCACTCAGGGTAAGTACCGGACAGTGACGTGAGTACTTGACAGTGACGACCATCGATTCCGTCACTCGGGACTCACGTCGTACCCCACCAACACAGTGGGAGTCTCACAACACACGAACACTGTGGCGTCCATGTACCACACGACAGCTCTACTCGTTTCCTAGTGTGGACGCACCAGTGCATCATGTATGTGCAGCTGTATAAAGTACATTTAGAGAGTCGGGAAGCACATATGAATAGAAAGAGGTAAGGATGTCGGCAATGAGTGAAATTATGACATATATATATACATATAGTATTTGTGAAAATTTCAAGTAAGTTCTGTAATGTTTCATTGTTTTTACTTGTTATTGGTGAAAGTAAGGCCGTGAGGATAAGATCGTGTGAGATGTGTGTCAGATGTGGAAAAATGTTTTTTTTTTGTGAATTACTTCAGAATAGAATTATTACCACACTACTTAATAAAACAAGACAGTACAGTATGTGCTTCTGTAGGGATAAAAATACAACGGATGACGAACTTTATAATAATAACAAAATAAAAAAATGACCTGAAGTGTTAGTTTACTTAACCTTGTTTGTTACATAGCCATAGTGGGGTGAGGAGGCTCCACCGCTCGCTTCCCATCCTAAGGTTCTCTGGTCCACTCAATGGGCATCTCCAGTCAACCCAGCTCTGATATTATTTACGGTAGATAAGGTGGTTGAGTGTAGGCCACACTGCCTCAGTATCTGCTGAGGCAAGTACAGTACAATGGTATATGCCCAGTACTTGCCGACAATGCGTAACAGAGGCACACTGTTGGCACGTACTGGGCATATACTGGCTCCTGAGTGCACCTATACCTGCTCCAGTGTTGGTCAAGTCTAGTCTTGAATGATCTAGCACTCGGTACCGTCATAACACTGGAAAAGTTAGGGAAGGTTTTGAAAAGGTTTGTTTGTTCTTTTTAGTATTTTACCCCACATTTTAATTCTACTTCAAGGCACACACAGCCCACCTAGATCAGTGCGTGCAGGCCTCACGCAACACGAAAAAAAATCCAGTGCAACACCATGCGCATCACGGCACACATGAGTCCCAGTGTGGATGGGCCTTTAGTGGCGCCCTTGTTGTAAAGTCTTAGTGGCGTCCATGTTGTAAGGTCTTAGTGGCGCCCTGTGAGAGTCCCTGGGGGCGCCAGACCTGTAAGGCCCTCTGATTCAGTAGTTTTTGCGCTATTTCGAACTTTGGGAGATGCAACGTTAAATATATACACCGCCGCCCATCACATTTCTAGTATAATCTCATCCTGAATAACGTAACGGAGAATAATATCCAACAGGAAAACATAAGTTGTGGTGTTGTGCTGACTGACTGCTCTCTTCTCCTATTGGCTGTTGCTTGGTTGGTTAAAAGAATAGTCCACCAATCATAGCTGAGTAAGGGACTGTTGGAAGTATGTAATATAATGACACTACGATCAAGCATGCCATAAGGCCCCTCAGGCTCTTGGTAGGGTCCCTTGAGAGTGGCGCCGACCCTGGGAGGGTCCCTTGGGGCGTCGAGGTCCTTGGGAGGAACCCTCCTCAACGATCCTCCTAAGGGAGATTACGTCCCCAGGGACCCTGCCAGACACATCTGAGCCCCTCAGGGACCCTCCCAGGGACACTCCCAGGGGGGAACGCGACCCCCGGGGACCCTCCTAGGGACGGCAGCGCTCCCAGAGACCCTCCCAGGGGAGACGCCTCCCCCCAGGAACCCTACGAAGGGCCCCCAAGAGCCTTTTCGCATGTTTGGTCGTAGTGTCATATTACAAACTTCCGGCAGTCCCTTACTTAACTATGATTGGTGGAATATTCTTTTTACCCACCAATCAACAGCCAATAGGAGAAGAGAGCACTCAGTCAGCACAACACCTTACAGGTCTAGCGCGTCCACGGCCCTCCCAGGGACAGCGGCGCTCCCAAGGAGCCCTCTAAGGGAAGGCGGCGCCCCCAGGGGCCTTGCCAGCGGCAGTGGCGCCCCCAAGGGCCCTGCCATGGGCAGTGGCGCCGCCATGAGCAGTGGCGCCATCGGGGCCCCTGCCAGGGGCAGTGGTTCCCCAGGACCCCTAAGGGAAGGCGGCGCGCCAAGCGGCCCTGTTAGGGGCGTTCGCGCTCCGAGGGGCCCTGCTAGGGAAGGTGTTACCCCCAGGGGTTCTCACAGGTTCAGCGGCGCTCCCAGGGGCTTTCCCAGGGAAGTCAGCGTTCCCAGGGTCCCTCCCAGGGACAGCGGAGCCCTCAGGGGTCCTCTAACAGACAACGGTGGTTCCAGGGGCCTTCCCAGGGACGGTGGCGCCCCCAGGGGCTCACTCAGGGACACCCCGACCCCAGCAGCGCTCCCAGGGGCGTTGATGCCCCCAGGGGGCCTGCCAATAACGGTGGCGCCGCTCCGGGGCTCTTACAGGGTCAGCAGCTCCCCCAGGGGTTCACCCAGGGACAATCGCGATCCCAGGGGCCTTCCTAGGGACGGAGGCGGCGCCAGGGTCACGACACGGCACGGCAATGCACTTTCCACTTAATAGAGAATCTAAAATCATTGTGCTCATACAATACTGTAATTTATTTTCTATCATTTTTTATGCTTTAACTGTTCCTTCAGTTCTTGTAAGGACAATTAGATTATTATTTCAGTCTATTTTGTGGAATAATTTCATATGTACTGTGATACTGCTCATATATTGTATACTCCTACTCATAAAAATTACTGTCCTTTGCTTGCCTTGAAATGCACCAGAAATATTCTAAGTGACAATCATTTAGAATTATTTTATTTCTTGTCACCCAATAAATAAGGTGTGCAGTTAGCAACTACTGTAAATTTGTAACTAACTATTGTAGTTTAGTACCTAACTAAAAGAAAAAACCCAATGTAACAGGATTTTGTAAGTGTAAAATGAAAATTTTTGAGTATCCTTATCAATACTAAATTATAAAATAAACACATGATAAACTCTGTAAGGCGTATATGTGTAAATCAGGTGTCATAAAATGACAATGACAATAGCCCCAGTGCTTTAGAGACAGCTCATAGTAAACTCCTTAACACAAGAGAAACAACAGCAGACAGTTGTTGATCAAGAGAGCATTTATTCTAAGTAAATTCAATGATAATCTTTGGCCAGGAGACGACGCCTTGGTGAATGACTATGGTCATGACCTGTGCACGATCTATGAGTTTATATTTCATAAAATATATGTTTGGAATATGAAACAAATTTCTTGTATTTATAAAATGTATTAACCAGTGAGGCTGTGTACAGGTATAAATGATTCTGACATGACCTCAGCACAATAAGACGGCTGAGGTGAATACTCAACTGGACGACAGTCAGGTCCCTCAACAGGAATGCCATCCAAGACATAAGCGTTCACACTTTTATCCTTAACCAACTGTCTTGCCTTTAGTTTCTTCAACAAAAATGAAGGTAAATATGACACCAATGCAGCTGACACTGGCGTAGAATCAGTAGAGTCCTGCCTGCGTCAGCATCTCCTGCATGGGACTGTGGAACTGCAGCGTCAGGAAGGAGAAGATGGTGCAGGAAGAGTAACACAAGGACCACCCGATCACACCTGCCCAACCATACAAAGACATCACTGGATTTCGAATGCAGAAACAAAAACATAGAATTTTAAAAGGTAACATTTCAGTAATGTAGATAATAGTGAAGTGTGGAATAAAAGTAGTCATTTTGCTCCCTGGCCTCGGACGTTAGTAGGAACATATTCGGCGGCGAGGATGAAGGGGAGAGGGTGAGCGCCCATGTTGATTGCGAACATCACCGCCGCCAAACATATTAGGGGAAGCCATCTGAACCTGAAACATAAGTAACATGATACAACTTTTAAAGGTATTTATTTCATCTACATACACTGGTATTCTTCGCTATGATATGTGAAGAGGACATCCTCGTCATGTAGGGGAAGAAATCAAAGGCTGTGTAGGATGACTGTACTTGACTGAGGTCACTAACATACTGAGCTGACTTAACAACTGGATAACCTGACCTCCAAAATATGACGTTTTCGGGAGATCCCATTGTTACGAACCCCGCCACCAATTGTCATGATCTACCTACCCAGCACTACGAACCACGCCATCTATTGTCCTGATCTACCTACCCAGCACCACGAGCAACGCCATCTAGGGACGAAACACGAGTATGACTCGTCTTAGTTACCACTCCGGGGTTTCCCTTCTCCATATCCTGGTTGTTGCGTCACCTCCTCAAAGTCTTCTTCGTCAGCTCCAGTTCGATGAGAGTTCAGTTTACTCTGGGAAGTGACCACAGGATCACCTATCCTAGAAACCTACGGCACAGTGACTACTTACCGTCTTCTACAATACTCAGCCTTGCTCGTCAGCCATCTCAGCTCCTCACTTAAGTATTTGTAATCTTATATTGCCTCCCCCACGTCCAGTTGCTTCAAAATTGTTTATGTTGTATAAATATGTATATACTGTTAATGTTTAGGTTAAGTATGGTTTAGGGTAAATTATAGAAAGCTGAATATTTTGTTAAGGAATTTATGGCACTTTATTATACACAACAAAAACTCGCATCCTTTGTCTACCCTTTTATAGTCCGATTGTCTTTGTTTGTTTTTTTTGTTGCCTGTTGGATCTGGGTAGACTTTTAACTATATTCTAAATCCCCAACTCGTAACACCATGGAGAAGTAAACCCTGGTCAACCTGTTTACTCCCTACGTCTGCAATCATAAGTCCTGTCGCCTCTTCTGCTGCTTCATAAACCCCAAGATTCAGACACTGGTGTATTATTCTGTTCATAAATGCTTCGAATTCACTTGTCTGAATCTCGGGGTTCGTCGATCAGCAGGATCTTTGTTCAGGACTGTAGAGTGCATTAAGATTAAAATCCCTGTATAGTTTTTGTTGTATTTTGTCCCCAAATGTCTGAGGAAAATATACCCTTTCGCTCAAAAAAAAAATGGATGTTGATGAAATAAACCTTGCCATCATTGACACGGTATTTTCCTCCCACGAGATGGAACCACAAAAAACAACACACAACTTTTATACAATGTGACGAAATGGAACTTGTTTATATTCTCTTGTGTTATTCATATCTATATCCGTTTGTCTTAGTGAATGGTAATGCTATTGTTGTTATTGTAAAGGTGACACTAAATTGTTTTGGTTGGGTTAGGTTAGGTTTTATACTAATCAACACCAGAGCATCACCTGTTATATCCATCTGGGTGGTGTTGAGGACCATCTGAGTGCCAACGAGTGTAGCATTGTTCACTACCTGGTCTGAGAGTGCCGGGGAGGGCCAGATCACTATGGCACCAGCAGAGAAGTGGCCCATTGGGGCAATGGGCCAAACTGCAAAGGAGACACAAGTAACGTGTGGGCAGGTTAGTAGCAGGTGACACTAGTAGGTGGCGTGTGGGCATGTTAGTGGCAGGTAGCACTAGTAAGTGACGTGGGAACAGGTTATTGAAGACACACTCACCTGCTTAGTAAGTTGTGTGGCTCTCGTACTCTGTGGCTCCCTGATGCTGCTCCCCGACTCCAGATCTGTGAAGTAAATATCGTTCTTACATCTATAACATTATGAGGCAAGTGTGTGTGTGTGTATGTGTGTGTGTGTGAGTTGCTTATGTGCCCCCCCCCCCGACTCATCTCTCTCACTCACTCTCTCATCCCCACTGACATCATAATTATCTCTCAACTCCTCCTCCTCCTTCCTGCTGTTGATATTCTATCCGTCCATCTCATCTCCTTTTCGCCTTCACTCTCCCCCCTCTATCATCTTCCCTACCCTCCCTCCTCCTCCGAACCTGTTTTCTACGACTCCTATACACCTGACCTACCCCACGCTTGGCCTCACCTGCCCTGGGCGACACTCAACCCTCCTGTCCTGACAACACCGCCAGCTTATCTATAAACGGCAATTTAACACCTGATGATTAGCTCGCCCCCCTCCCCTCCCCAGAATATTTTACCTGTTCATTTAACCCCTTAATGTTACCTGGAGGATGACACACACACACACACTGCATCAACACACATACACACGCTGCACCAACTCTCACACATACACACGCTGCACTAACTCTCACACACACACACTACCACCTCTCTCACACACACACCCCCCACCACCTCCCCACACACACACACACATCCCACCACCTCTCACACACACACACACACACACCCCACCAACTCTCACACATACACACACCCCACCACCTCTCACACACCCCACCAACTCTCACACATACACACACCCCACCACCTCTCACACACCCCACCACCTCTCACACACTCGTCTGCATGGCTCTCTTCCTTATTATTACTGGCTGGATGTTGTTAGAGTGTGACGTCATCTACTGCCTGTTACTGTATGCCAATCAAAGTAAGTAGAATTTTGTTCTACTAATGAAAAATAAAATGAAAACGTATTTAACCGACTTATTGACAGAAAGATATAAACTTGCTCTCATAATATCTATTAGAAATAAAACCTAATTTATGATTCTTTAGAAATTTGGGCAGGGAACTGACCTGTAGAGTTCAGGGCGATAATTTCGTTAGTGTTGACAGTCATCTTGCGAGGTGTACGCTGCCTCCTGCTGCTGAACTTTTATACCACACAATAATCAGTTCTGTGGCGTTATTTATGTCTTAAAAAAAAAAGGATAATCAAGCGGATTTCAGCAAAGAATGATGAAAAGTTAATCTCCAGGAGCGTTGCTACCACACGTTCTCCTTGAAAGGTGTCGAGTTTGTGAGTGAGAGCTCAACTGTCCACGACACATAAAACATGGAGAGTGATCAGTGGTGCAGATTAACCCGGGTATGATTCTCAACATCAATGGCAACCTGGCGGTGCACAATGTTCAACAGTGAAGGAATGTTTATGTCACAGACCACCAGAAGATGGTTAATCTGCCTCAACTACTGGCTCCACACACACACACACACACACACACACATACACATGTGGTTAATGAATGTATTATGCATTATGTGTGAATCCTTTGATGACTATCACATAAGATAGGTGATTTTAGTGATATCTTATTGCAATATTGTTTATTTTCACATGTTCATAAATAGTTACTCAACGTATGTGTGAAAAATGTTGCTTATCGTAAGTGCATTTTCTGCTTATCACTTACCTATCGCCTCGGATTTCCTCAGGTGAGTCCTCAAGATTACTTTTCATCAGTTCCTATACCTGCGATAGTCTGGGAGGGGAGGGAACCCGCGGAGCCTGGCTAGGGTGTCGACCTGTGTAATGGCACGCTGGAAGCTGGCCCTCTCCCAGGCAGTGTAGGGGTACATCTCCCGCTGGGAACCCTTGGCCACCCCTTCCAGGTGACGCGCCAGGCAGGCCAGTCGAGACTCGGAGGGCTTCATCCCCAGGAAGGTCATAATAGCACGAACCTCCCTCAAGGGCGCCTCTCGTAGATGCTCATAGTACACTAGATGGAGGCGGGTGGTGTTCCTCAGGGCGTTAACGTAGGTCGATTTCCATTTCTCCAACCTCTCCCTCACGAACTTATGGAAACCTATTGGATATGAATATTTCATGAAGTTAAGTTAGCATAATACAAGGTTTAAGCTAGAAGGTGTTTATTAGAGCGCAATTCTCATTACTAACAAGTCATATACCAGGTGGGTATGGGACTTATGGCATTAAATTTGGGTAAATATTCTCAAAAATCAAATCAACCTTCCAACCAATTTGCTAAAGTTAATTATCCATTGAAACTAAAAAAGGTGAGTATAAGAAGTTACCTCCCGTCTTGTAGGAAGCGTCCTTGACGGAGCCTCTGAACCTCCTCCAAGCGAGCTTCATGTTGCTTAAGTTCCAGTAGGAGAGGATGGCCCTGGAGACACACCGTGACCCAACACTTAATGGACATTTATGAAGGATTTTTGACAAACATACGGACATCTGACTTTTCAAAGCCTAGAGAGGAGAATTACTGGAGAAGTAGAGACAACAACAACTTATATTATGCAACATGGGACGTGTTAATAAACACATATCACGGTAACAAGATATTAGACAAATAAGCTTAATGGGAACAAATGAGATAATACTTGACAAGAGTGACGCACCTAAAACAAAATTTACAACTAATATTGTATAGAAGAAAACTTTCATTGGAAACGTTCGCTATGTAAACAATTAAAATGGCGTCGTTGAGACGGTGTGGGTGGATGTCAACTGGTGTTCAGGACGAAAAAAAAACACAAAATGAAAATGCGAAAACTAATTCTGGCAAGAAAAATGTAGTTTTCTAAACGTCAGGGATAATTTTCTTCTATGAATACTGAAAATAGTTGGCTTAAAGGTTCAGTTGTGTAAAGTATAAACAAAAATTATATTTCAAGAGCCGAGACTCACCTGTTAGGAATAGTCTCAGGTGTAGGGGTCGGTGACTCACCTGGCCGGGCTCCTGATGATGGCGACAACAGGCAGGTGAGGGTGGCGGATGAGGGATTCAAAGGAGTGGGTCTTGACAGTGAAGGTGGTACCCCGCCATGGAGGCTCACTCTCTCCCAGGTACCCTGCGAGAAACACAACTGACACCTCCTCTCCTTCTCTACCCACTCATCTAGCTATTAATAATCCTTTAATGTCTAATACCTCCCTGTCTTTCTGGATAAACTTTTTCGAACTCAAATGTTTCAGTGGTCAGTATGAGGTTATTAATTCGTGTTATTTCATACATATATTAATCTCTCCTCCTTTTTCAGCCGTCTTATTCCATCCCTTTCTCTTCCTCCATCCCTTTCCAATGCTCCCTTCTTCTATCCCTCTTCTCCCTCTCACCTAGGCCCCTCAAGTGAGTGGAATTGTAGACGGAGGAGGTGAAGAGTCCCGTGGCGGCCTCCAGCAGGTAGCGAGTCCACGTGTTGCCTGACCGAGGGAAGGAAAGCAACCACGCCCTCTTCAGTTCCACACCGAACCTCACCTCCATCCTGCTCCGTCACGCCACATAATCATTCCCCACATCACCAGGAGAACATGAAGAGGTGGAGATCAACGGAGACCAGCATAACACAGGAGATCATCAGAAGCACACGGATGTACAGGTATCGTGGGAGAATTAGAGCAGGAGAGGCCGAATCAAGGGAGACCACGGAGACCAGGAGAATGTGGAAGCCATTCACATCACCAGTAGCAGGAGGACACGGTGAACGGGATCACCAAAGAGGTTGAAAGAATAAAAGAAGAATTAGTAATCTGCAACTTTGCTACGTGTATGTAACAGACAGACAGACAGACAGACAGATAGATAGACACAGACAGACAGATAGATAGACAGACAGATAGATATATTAGATACAGTGTGAAACAAGGTGTAAAACCAACTCAAGGAAATAATTACCACGAACACTGTGGATCTTCAGGCCATAATATCTTCGACTTCCTCGTGTAGTCTAGTTGTACTATACTGATCAGCTGACTTTTGTTTGTAAACACACCGTCGACTTTGCCCACGTGGTTCATATCTCCGGACGTGTCATTCATCGTGTTGTTTATTGTGGTAAGTCGACCCAGTTCTGAAATTATACAGAAGTTAGATGGTTAGGTTAGGTTAGGTTTGAAGAAAAGTCATAATAATCTCGGAAAAACAAAAGTTCATGGTAGTAAAAAAAACGCACAACCATCATTAAGGAGAGAGACAGTACCTGACAGGAAGGAGAGAGACAGTACCTGACAGGAAGGAGAGAGAGACAGTACCTGACAGGAAGGAGAGAGACAGTACCTGACAGGAAGGAGAGAGACAGTACCTGACAGGAAGGAGAGACAACAGTGCAGGCAGGAGAGAGAGGAGAGAGACAGGAAGGAAGGAGAAAGAGACAGTACCTGACAGGAAGGAGAGAGAGAGAGAGAGAGAGTACCTGGCAGGGAAGGAAGACAGTGATGGAGGGAAGAGTACCTGACTGGCTCACATGTACTACCATCACCGTCACCGTCACCACCGCCGTCACTCCCAGTATCGTCGTCACTCCTTCTCCGCCGCCGCCTCCTGCCGGGACAAAAAAACACCTGCAGGAAAACACATAAACTACCAAGGAAAACAACAAAAAAACACCTGTAGGAAAACACGTAAAAAAGGAAAACAAGATTGAACAAGAAACAAAACAAAATGTCCCTCACGAGTGGAAAATACACACAGACACCCTTTCCTCATCTGTCTCCCCTCACACCCACCCCCCCACCCACCCCACCCCCCCCCTTCCTCACACCCACCCCCACACCCACCCCCTTCCTCCACCCACACTCCAACCCCTTCCTCACCCCACTCCCCACCCCCGTTCCAACCAACAGACAATTGCTCTTTCAGAAATATTACAACATCTTTATCAATATCTCAACTAAACATAAACATCCCTTATAAATTCTTGTTTTTTTTTTTTACTTTAGTTTTGTTATTTTCTTCATATTAATTATTTCATATTGGGGAAGATCATTCGTTATCATCCTGTAATATAAAACAAAATTAAAACCTCGGCAACTCTCTCTCTCTCCTATGGCCAGCATGAGAGGTTACAACGGCATCCTGAACATCAGAGTTTTGTTATGTGTGGAGAGTGGTAGTGTGGTGGTGGCAACAGGAGGTGGCGGAGCAGACGAAGCGATCACCAGATAGAGAAATGTGTTCCTAGAATTTCATCTTCTTCTTCCTCTGATAAGTAAAGTTTATTTGACTTCTAACATTTGTTGTTTTGTGTATATAATAACACTGTTTTGAATATCTAATTGATTATCTAATTCTAACTGCTTGATAATTATGAATCTCAAACCCGGGACATCAGGGATTCATGTCACAGTGAACCGTATAATAAATGTGGAACTAATCACGTGGTAAACAGACCTCGTGTCGTCAGCGCTTTCGTCAGGAGAGACATACGTTACCCAGAAGTGATCTAATATTATCTAAAATAACCCTTAAACTACTACAGGCTACAGTTCTTTTCACTTTATCCACGGTTATTATTATTTGATGCTTCATGGTAAATATCCTGTTTTGATATTTCAGTGTTTAATCGTTCAGTTTTAGCCGTTTTCTTAATATTTATAGCAAAGAAATGCAGTCACTTTTATTTACTACATACAGTTATCAATGTCTATGCTGTTATATTGTATTTGGTGTATTTTTAGTTCTAGTGATGGCAATAGATCACAGTGTCACCAAATAAATAAAAGTTCTGTTTTTACATAAGTTGCTTTTGTTTAGGACGGTATTTCATGATTTTCTCCTGTTTTCATCTATCTCTTGAAAACATTATTAAACTGTTATTTAACCTTTGCATAATTTACGTGTTATGAAAGTATTATTTACGTGTTATTTAATACCATAAGGGCGGTAACAGCGAGGTTAGAGGGTAAACCTAATGTAATTTTCGATTCGCATAAATGTCACAGTCGGGGTTATAAACATTACAAGAATAACAACAATGTCATCTGGGCTACTGTTGTTGTATAAACGTTTCACTATACCATGTGGGGGTGTGTACCGTGTATGGAAGTGGGTGTGGGTGGAGTGTATGGACATTTTAGTGGGTGTGAGTACAGTGTATGACCGTCGTTCTGGGTGTGTGTTGATGCAAAGGTGTGAATGAACTGTATGGAAGTGGATCTCTGAAATAAAAATCTACAATAACCTCTACTTATGATATATCGCTACGTAAGAACCAGCTGTGGAAGTTATACCCGAGCTGTCTCAACTCTACAGTAGTGTTAGACTATCAGCCTTTACGGCCAAGGAATGTTTGGTGGTGTAGGGCGGTGAGGAGCCTCCCAGGTTAACAGAGGAAGTCATTTGTAAACTGCTGAATCACGGGACAACGGGAGGGGAGGGAGAAGGAGGAGAGGAAGGGGGTTGGAGTGGTGAGGGGGTGGGGGAGGTGCGGTAGGCAGGGAGAGGAAGAGGGTGGAGTGGTGAGGAGGTAGAGGTGGGGGAGAGAAGGATGAGGAGGAGGAAAAAATGGGTAGGGAGAAAAGGGGAGGAAAAGTAGGTAGGGAGAGAGAGGGAAGGAAGAGTGGTGAGGAGGTAGAAGGAGAGGAAAGGGAGAGAGGAGGAGGAGATGAAGGGGGAGAAGTAGTGCAGAGAAAAAGAGAGGGAGAGGGGGAAGAGGGAGAACAGAGAAGAAGAAGAAGAAGAAGAGGGAGGGGATGGAAAGGATTGAATTGAGGGAAGTGAGAGGAGGAGGAGGAAGAGGAGGACGAGTTGGGGGGAAGTTAAGAAAGTGAGGGTGGGAAGAGACGGGGACAAAGGGAGAGAGAGGGAAGGGGGGGCGGGAGATGGGAGGAAAGGAATAAGAGGATGTAACAACTCGTAAACAGACGACACAGAACACCACCACATCAATCACAGGAGTTAATTCTAATTTTACGCCATGAATGAAAAGAAAAGGTAACAAGATTATTTTTTTCCCCCACAGTGATGGTTGTGTGGGAGCGGGTCGTGAGGGGGCGGGTGGCTGTGTTTATGATGATGACGGTGGTGGTGCTGTACTGGTGTCACACGCTCACCCCGTCTACAACATACGACGTTAACACCCTCCCCCACCATTACGAGAGTCCCGTACACGCCTCCAACAGTACCTCCGACGTCCACACGGGTCCTGCACACGCATACAAGAGGCTGTTCCACTCCAACACGCGTCACACTCAAGTTGAAAACCCTGATGCTAACCCTCACCCGAGTCCCGCCCAGGTGGAAAACAACGTCACACACGGCAACAAGATACCAAGTACCTCTCATAGTATACCTAGAGGCCAGACCCTTCGTAATAGCCATACCCGATATAATTCAAATAACTCTCAAAACACAGGAGCAGCCACAAAAGTCAACAACAATGCACTGCACAAAAATAACAGCGATGACAGTGAGACAAAGGCTAGTGAAAACAGTGTTGATGCTGTCACTGTAACTGGTGATTCTGGCGACAATAAGACCAATATTACTAAAGCCAAGATCAAAACCAAAGTCACCGGGACCAGATCTTGGACGAACGATGGAAATAATATCACTAAGACCAGAAGGAAAACGGGAGAAGTGGCCAGTATACGGAAGACCATGACCAGGGCAGGAGCTCTCAAATATAAGAACAACAACTTCAGCAGCAGTGTTTCGACGAGTTCCTTAGGAGTTATGGTCAACACGTCAAGGCCTATACGACAACTGTGGCCGCTAGACAGTCGCTGCTCTGGGTTGGTACAGTAATCTAATAGTGTATAAATACTTGTATATATGCAAGGTAGCGTGATATACATGTTTAATACAAAGGAATAAGTTTGTTTATTTATTATGAGGTTTAAATCTTCCTTTGATATTTGTGCCAAGAACATTTTATTTTAGTACGTTTCTGTAGCTTTGTTAAATAAATGCATCATATTATAACAGATTTGGGGAGTAACATATAGTTACCCAAGTGACAACACGAGGGCGAAGGTCCTGTACAGTACAGTACTTGTAGGTCCTATACTTGTAAGGTAAACATGACCTAATTTAACGTCAGCATTAATGAGGTTAATTATTTATATATCTTTATGTACTGTACGTAGATCACTTTGTAGTATTTACATTTAACTCTCTGATACTGATTTACCGTCAGCAAATTCTGAGTTGTCGAAGATGATTTCAGTCATTTACTGTATATCCCGTGTTGGAGCACTTATACCCCCACCCTCACACACGTCGTAGCCTTTCTTATTGTGAATACTTGAGTGAGGACGGTGAACTGTGTCCTACCCGCAGCTGTGTCAGTGTTGTGGTGGTGGTAAAGATGGTTCATGTTCTGCCACATAACACTGGGGACCTTTACATTGTTGTCTTCTTTCAATGGCAGGATTTTGAAAAAGCGTAATTTAAAAAAAAAATATTTATATATTTCTCTGGCCTCCCGCGACTTGCTCCCCGTGGTAAGCCGACGCCCGGAAGTGACTAATTCTAGTTTTCTTTTTCCATGGTTATGTTCTTCGCGACTCCTGGTCCTGCTGATCATCTCGTATTCCTGCCTTGCTTGTTCTGCTCATGTCTCCGTGTTATGATCTGCTGGCTGTGGTAATCTCTCCGTCTCCTCCTGGATCCTGGTCCTGGCATATATCTGTAACGTGGTGGCGTGGCGGGAGGCAGGGTGAAGGTGAGATTCGGTGTGGGGCTGAGGAGGGTTTGGTTGCTATCCTTCCCTCGCTCAGGCAACACCTGGACCCGCTATCTGATGGAGGCCGCCACGGGATTCTTCACCTCTGCCGTCTACAACGATAAAACACTCATCAGCTTAGGTAATTTTTACTAGTCCTTTCTCTTTTATCCAACTGGAGATAAAAGAAAACCGAACTTTCTCGTCCCTCTTGGGGCCAGACTATAATTTCTTCAAATCTGTAAATTGTACCAAAAGTGGAACCTTCCATAGCTCCTGCTGTCGCTGTTATATTTTATCATACCAGTAAGACTAAAACGAATAAGGCGACGAATCATGATATTGAGACTAATTACGTTGACGGGTATGTGTGAGGGAAATGAATCTATCACGATAATGCGGATGTGAGTGATATTATGTCAAGGACTTGGAGTGAGTGGGGATAACGTGAGGCTGTGGTGACTGCGTGAATCAAGTGAAGTTCAGACATATGAGAATGAAATGACTTAGACCAGTCTGTGGCCAAGTGGAGCTCGCCTCCTCTTTTAAGGGTCATTGGTTCTAACCCAGGGCACTCCCAGTCCACTGAGCTGTAAATGAGTACCTAACATCACTGTATATAATGAGAGAAGGTCCATGAGGCTGAACTGATCGAGGCAGAGGAGGCAGGAGGTGGATAAGAGAAACAGGGTGAGCTTGGGTGAACGTATACAGACTCGACTGTAGATGAGGGAAAACAAAAATATTCCAGTAAACAGTTTGTGAAGTCGCCTGTACTTCTCTCTCCTTTTTGAGGATTCCTGGGAGAGGCCGAAGATCATCTGGCGGGCACAACGATCCTACAGAAGACCCACAGCGAAAACCACATCACCCAGGACACCGACCCCGTCATCCTCCTCGTCAGGAACCCCCTCAGGTGAGTCCAAAGCCGTAACTAACTCAGGTAAACTTTATCTAAGATTTGCAGGCGACATAATTAGTGGAAGATAACACAGTCAGGTGTGTCTACTGGTAGATTCTAACACTCAGCTGTAGGAATGATAACTTGATCTAAATGACAATCACATGAGTCTGTTCAGTGAAACCTAACTCATTAACTATAACACGGCGAGTATTATCAATGACGGTAATGTCAGGTCTCAGGTAACACAAAGTTATGTCACAGATCCCTGGTATCACTGTGGAGTTGGCGGGTGCTGGACGGAACACCCAGCCAGTATAACGGCTCGGCGCCCCTGGAGGCCTACAGAGGCACGGGTGAGGGAACTTTCTTCATTGATTTTATTCTTCCCTTATTAACTCTTGTCTCTCGGTGAGCTTTGTCTCTATTACTCTGAATAACTCGACTCCTTTATCTAAGAGTATATTCTCACAAACGCTCGACTGTTATTCATTGTATTAATCTGTCTTGTTTACCTAATTGTCTCTTACTCTCATTCCTCTCCTCCTCTCTCACCTGTACCCCTTCTTCTTTTACTAATTATTTACCTTTGTAATAAATTTTCTTTGAAGACATTTCACTCTTAGTTTAGAAGCAATCTATTTTCACACGAAGAAATAAAGTCAACTTGCCACCATGGGTGAGTGGGTCTCAAGCTTACTGTTTGTTTATGTCACGTGAGACTGTAATATTTGCCACAGATTCTACCACTTCTCTCCGTTGTGCAGATTTTCACACGTTCACATGGTACCACTCTTCCCTGTGGTCCGAGACGGTGACCTCCGCCTTGGCAAGATTCCCCACACTCCTCATCCTCTACTACGAGCACCTCCAACAGGACCCCATTAGGGAGGTGCGGAGGGTCCTGGACTTCCTTCACCTCCCACCTGACGAGGAGCGACTCACGTGTCTAACCCGACACCTTCAGGGGCCCTTCCTGGGGGCTAAAAAGGTCGATGACCCTTTCACCCAGTTCGAGAAGAAGATCATTCAAACAGCAATCAAGTCTGCGTCACGAGCACTACAGGAGAAGGGTCGCCCGCCTCTCCCGGATTATTTCAAGACTTAATACTATATTGATGATATATATAAACTATGTATGAACCTGTAAATACTTCAAGGGCTTGTAACTCTTGTAACAATTCAAAGTATTTTTATTATGAATGATGATAAATGTGTAATCATATTTTTGTTTTAATGGCAGCTTAATAATGATTCAGAGTGTTGTTTTTTGTTTACAGACTTGTGGAATAGAGTTAGTTTGGTGTATCTATGAGAGAGAGAGAGAGAGAGAGAGAGAGAGAGAGAGAGAGAGAGAGAGAGCGTGACAATAGTGGATTCGATACTTGATTACAGGTGAAGACGCCAGGTAACGACCGTGAGGGGGGACACGAGCACCCGGAGGTCACGACATCTTATTGACGGGTCTCCTACTGTCTCCTGGTGGGTCTCCTACTGCCTCCTGGTGGGTCTCCTACTGCCTCTTGGTGGGTCTCCTACTGCCTCCTGGTGGGTCTCCTAGTGTCTCCTAGTGGGTTTCCAGGCATGGCGAAAGACATGTGTGTACATACATAGTTAAACGCGGTACAAATTGGCCTCTACGTGCAGGTATTTTGTGTGTGTGTGTGTGTGTGTGTGTTTTGAGTGTATTCTAAGTCACAGGTTTGGATATCAAGTTACAGTTACGGCTACTATGTGAAGATGGCGTGTGTATGAAAAAGTGTGCGTGTACAGAAGCCTTAGTTATCATGTACAGGTTCCGGCGTGTACGCATATTTACGTGTTATCGACAAGTTTACTACGTACAGATGCCGTGTGCGTGTTGTAAGGTTATTTTACAAGCACGGTCAGGGGTTAAGTGCCTACGTGTGCATGTTTCAGACCTGTCTAACGCCCTGGGAGTGTCGTGAACAGGCCTGGACGCGGTACACACGCTGGAGATCCTGTTTACTAACCCTCGCTAAATTGCGCAACAGGAGATCGATAAAGACTATGGTAGGAGAGACGGGTGTGAGAGAGGATGTAATTCCCCATTCACTCTCATCTTCCCATCAACCATTACTCTGATTATTGTTACGAACCACGCCATCAATTGTCATGATCTACCTACCCAGCACTACGAATCACGCCATCTATTGTCCTGATCTACCTACCCAGCACCACGAGCAATGCCATCTAGGGACGAAACACGAGTATGACTAGTCTTAGTTACCACTCCGGGGTTTCCCTTCTCCATATCCTGGTTGTTGCGTCACCTCCTACAAGTCTTCTTCATCAACTCCAGTCCGATGAGAGTTCAGTTTACTCTGGGAAGTGACCACAGGATCACCTATCCTGGAAACCTACGGCACAGTGACTACTTACCGTCTTCTACAATACTCAGCCTTACTCGTCAGCCATCTCAGCTCCGCACTTAAGTATTTGTTACCTTATATTGCCTCCCCGCCTCCACCTTGCTTCAAAATTATTGTATGTTGTATAAATATGTTTAGGTTAAGTATGGTTAAGGGTAAATTATAGAAAGCTGAATATTTTGTTAAGGAATTTATGGTACTTTATTATACACAACAAAAACTCGCATCCTTTGTCTACCCTTTTATTGTCCGATTGTCTTTGTTTTTTATTTGTTGTTGGGATCTGGGTAGACTTTTAACTATATTCTAAATCCCCAACTCGTAACATTATCCTTACATCATTTTTTTGCTTCTATTTTTCAATATTATTTTCTCCATGGGACTCTTCGATACAACTAATGATAAAGTAATATTTCCCGACCCCGACGAGGCTTAAGTTGACGCCACTCTTTCTCTCCAAGGAAATACTATTGATCAGGGGCGAGTGTCTTGCTGGCGGCCGAGGCAGAACGAGTCATTATATTTTTATATCTCTACTGCAGCAGACAGATGGTTCAGTGTGGGGGTCGCAGCGACGTATTTTATTCAGGGTGGTCGTCTGGATGAAGCCACCACACGTAGCCTGTCCGAGGGAGTGGAATAATGTACACTAGTTTACATTAATTATCTAATAAAATACGATAGGAATAATTTGTCGAAAACCGTAACTGACATAATATATTCCTATTACTGGATGATGCCCTCTTAAATCATCCCGTGTTGGTGAACAGGGTAACAAACTTCTAGAAACTATTTGCTAGCCGCGAGTATTGGGTGTAAACTATGTAGAAGCACGCGATGACATTTTTGCCAGTAACTGCCTGTTTGTGATCAATAGTAACGTTGTTGTATTGAGAGGAAAGTTGTGACCCAGACCACCAACACGATCACGGGCTCTCTTGTGGGGAAGTATTGATTAACTAACCTTCACTGGACTGTGTTAATGGCTGGCAGACCTCCACCTGCCTCCTCGCTGATCTTTCGTGTCGGAAAAAAACAGGACGTCAAAAAGTTGTCTTATACTTTTAGCTATATATACGGTAAACCTCTTGTTCTTCGTACCATATATGGATTGTTTTTTTTTACTAGTCATCAAATACGGAATAACGAAAAGCTTTCCTCGTGTCGCTGGTATTCTGATTAGAAAAAGCTCAATAATTAGGAAAGTAGGCAAATTAGGTATGAAAATAACTCAAAAACTCCTCAACACCACAAAAATAAAACATTAAAGTAACAACGCTAAACCAGATGATAAATGTTATACTAGTAAATTTTCTAAATATAGGAACAATCAGTAAAAGAATATATTGTCAATGTTCCTCCTATCTCGAACATTCCCTCTACACTTCTGGCAGCATCCTGAAGGAGTCATGTCAGTGGTTCACGTTTTATCCTGACGTTATGACAAGCAGCTTTCACCAGAGTATAAGCTCACCACCACACCCCACGACCACAAGTTAATGCCAGATATGAACTGTGTCGAGGGAACCAGCCACAACCGAATGCATAGTCTGTAACATACGATCACTTCATTGGTGTTAGCTCCTGAAGTTGTTTATTATATGCATACGTTGATTTACCACCTCTACTTGTAAAAAAATACAATAAAAAACTTACTCTACCAGGTAAAAATTAAAAAAGTGTATTTACCTTTTCTTTTCTTCGTATGTGTCGCAATACGAGAGACCATCATTCTTGTCACTACTGGATCACTTTGTCGTGGAAAAACAATAACAAAGAGGAGGCTGTCAAGTAGCAATGTGTTCCTGGCTCCTGTGAGAATGTCTGACTGCCGCGTTTTTCACACACCGCAATATTTTTTTTCAACTCGTACAATATAACCAAACTTCACCTTTTCTTACATTATCAAAAAGAAAAGTATACTGATATCTTTGTTTTTATTACGTTCCAGTATATTTATGTAAGTATACTAACCACATTACACATGTTAGAGTGTCAATAGAATTAGATTTCCACAGAATCCTCAAATTTCGTGTACCAGATTAAACGAAGATTCCTGGGATAAGTTTCGGAGTAGGTCAGGGAGGAGGTGGCTAGACCCTGTAGACACAATGGAGTCACGTGAGAGACTGGGGTGATACTGACGCAACGCTGACACCACGCATTGCGGTCCCCGGCCACCACGTCAGCTGCATACGTTCTACTCGGTCAGCATGCTAGGCATATGCACTACAGCCACCCGCACTCTAAGCCAGCCACACACACACACACACACACACTCTCTCTACTCAGTCACTACGTCAACTTTATGTAACCTTATCAACCACGTCAGCCACACGTACTCTTAGTATTAATTTACTCACACGCACTCAGAATCAACCAAATAATCTGTCTCAGCTAGCATAGGCACTCTTTAAACCAGACACACACTCTCTCTCTCTAGCCAGCTACATCCACACTCTCTAACAAGCTACATGCACTCTCTAAGACAACCAAACACACACACACACACACACACACTCTAAGCCAGCCCACGCACCCCCCTCATCACCATCATCACTCGTGAACTGTGTGTAGAAGGAAGGCACTATGCTCCAACTATAAGACCTGAACTGAGGAAATCAATGTCTCACGTTAGTCGCTCCCCTGTTTATGTTTTCTTCAGCATTATTCTTTTATTTTTTTTCCTCAGCGTCCTTCTTTTGTTTATGTTTTTACTGAGCGTCCTTTTGTTTGTTTTTACTGAGTTTCCTTTTGTTTATGTTTTTACTGAGCGTTCCTTTGTTTGTTTTTCTTCGGGGTTTGTCCTGAACTGACTGATATTAGGACAAGAAATATTTAAATTACGTTATACCATTTAAATAAACACTCGAAATGGTTGATTACCTTAAGTGGCAATGTCGTAGTTTACATGACATCATTACACCAAACTACGTACAGAGTATAAAGTTAAGATCAACCTACAATATATAGTGATACTCAAGGTCAGGTCAGGTCAGGAATTAATGCTGGAGCTTAGGTGGTGAGAGCCCCTCTGTGATCGCGGGTTTTTACTGAAGGTGGTGGACGAGTGTTGTGTTTCACTAGTCACGAAATCACGATCGTTAAGGAACTGATTCAACTGACGAATGACGATGGTTGGTATTTTGACATTCAACAGTAGCTGGTAGGATGCGCGCGCAGACAAAGGATTGTAGACTCGCGCAAGATTATTAATTCAATCAAGAGTAATTATATACTATTTGAGTAACTATTAGATATTACTTTAACTAAATATAACCTATATTAAATGCTCTTCAACATTATTAGATTAGCAGTTACGATAGTTATTTTGTTTGCTTTCCTTAGTGTCCTGTTGTTTATGTTTTCCCTCAGCTCTTTGTTTTATGTTTATGTCTGTCCTCAGCGTTTGTTATTGTTTACTTGTGAAAATAAAACTTTATAAAAATGAACATGTTGATATCGGAACATAACCTTTGAATAGAGACTAAAATTCCGAAGTGAGTTATTGATATTTCCGACCTTATGACCACACTCGTCCCGATATAGTGTCGTTAACCACATTCCATAGCGGGACAACGTTATGGTATCGGACATTGACGGCTTGGAAGATCAATAACCTAACCTAACTATCTGATAATAATGGATGCCCCTCGAAATCGAGGATGGCCGGCCCAAGGGCCACCTAGGCGTGAATTTGTTTAAGGTGTAGAATCTGTCGCCAACACAACAACCACACCCTGAGTTAACGAGTTGTATGACCCAGTGTCAAGGAATAGTCCAAGAAGACCGGACAACTCGCCAACTGCACTGGGTAACCATTACCCCGGAACACGGTCCACAAATCGATTAAAAACTCGGTTCCCAGTTACTGCTGGGTAGACAGAGGCAAATGGCGTAAAGAAACTTGCCCATAGTTTCACCCTGCCCGGGGATCGAACCCTGGGTCCACATCCTAAACAAAATATCATCAGGAGGTAGAATACAACATTTACTCGAGAAATTTATTTGTTTCGTTTACACAATTTACAAGTATTTATTACAAAATTTAATAACTTCAGGGGAAAAATTAGGAAATTATATTCGTTTTTCATCATGAGCAACGAGTCTGGTTTAACAGGTGACTCAAGATATACATAACACCAACACCAGGTGAGCCAGAGAGTAAGACGATAAATCCGGGTAAAGCTGTCACGTTATACCATTATACTACACTACCTTTATACTTACTGCTCTGAGTTTCTTACACAGAAGAACCATTTTATGTTGGGAGTTCATAACATAATAAAATATTTATTTTTCCTTATTTATTTTAATCTTGTAACATATAAGATCGCTTTAATGTAATGAGTTAATAACGATATTCTTTGCTTCCCCTTTTCTCACTGTTTTGAAGTTGTAGCATTGAACATCTTTGTATTGTTGTTGTTATTGTTTTTAATCATAAGTAACTATACCTCCCTCGTTCCTCTTATAAGATGTTATGAGAATATAACAAAAAAAATTCATTAATTCCTCCTGACGTTCTCAATTTCATAACACAATCGATCCATCGTCTCGTCACTCTTGGTCATGCCTCCCACAAGTGAACATACTCAACATCACAAGAGCGGGAAAAATAAATAAATACAAAATAAACCCAAGCTGATAAATGCTGTACTTGAATAAAAGAAAAACATCCCTCATGAAGGAAAAATATTATCAGTCAAGTGGGGAAAGATTAAAACTAAGCAGACTAACTACAGCTAAAAATGCCATGTAAATATAGTAATAGATAGAAATTCAATGACAGAGAATGAAAATAAATACAGGAATAAGCAACAAAAGAAGAGAATGTAACTTTGTCTTTTTTCAGTTTATGCATCTTTTTCTCTTATATTAGTTTATGATTCAGGCAGCATTAGAGAAGATATGAAGAACGCTTAAGAGGTTACCATGGTAGACAAGATCATGGTGACGTCATAGGGTATACACTGAAGGCCTCATAATGTTTATCTTCGTTCTGGCAACCTAAAGCCAGGTAATTCAGTGTCATACATACATACATACATACATAACATACATACATAACATACATACATAACATACATACATACGTACATGTCTGCCTACGATACAAATTCTACATCATCACGGGTCATTATCTTGCTGTAGGACGAATATTGCCATATAAAAATAGATATAATTATCACAAGTATAAACAGGAAATAACGTCACCGCCCTTACAAGTAACCCGAGTGTTTATTGTTCCTGTTGTTTACTTTGTTTACAGAAGAAAACAATTGTAAATCCTTCAGTAGACAATAAATTACGGCAGTTTTATAGTGTAGGTGGGAGGGTGGTGGGGTACAGCCCAGGGAGGACGCGAGGTGAGGGGGGTGGTTGATCTGTAATAAGGAAAAGGAATAATCTTGTTAACGGACCAACTTGACCGATTAACAAGTTATGCGTAGTGGCAGATCAGATCGGAGTTGGAAGTGATAATCAGTCCACCAGCCTCGACCAGGGTCTGACGTAGGTACTGGGAGACCAACTCAGACCAGGAATTTATGGAAGAGCCATATGTTAGACCGGTTTAGACCATTACCTGATGATGGAAGGACCGGGAGACCAACTCAGACCAGGACTTGACAGTATAATCTTTAGTATACCACCCTGACCAGATCTGATGGAAGGTTTGGTAGGTCGGGTTAAGCCAGGGCTTTATCACACCAACCAGTAGGCCAGTTCAGACCAGGACCTGGTAGTAGACCCAGTAGGCCAGATTGAAGGCCACAAAGAGTAAAGGGAAGACTGCACGGCTGGTCTGGTCTATTTTCTTGGCCAGGTCTGCCTCTCTACGCCAAGCCACGGGCATACACGGCCGCGTCACGCCCTCCACGCTGGATCCATCTGCTTCCACCGTCACCACGCCCTTTGTACTACTACCAAAAGACGTCAGTCGCTGTGCCTGGTGAAGGGATGTTGAGCGTGACAACTGAAAGATGATCAAATATCCTATACAGTGGACGAGGAACTGATCCTTTGATACTTAGATGAAAATAATGTTCCTAAAAAATCATAGAACGAGTTTGTAAGGGTTTAGTGCCCACAGTTGTAGACTTAGACAGTCATACAGACAGGTAGACAGACACACACGTACATACATACACACACACGCTTACACACAAATATATACACACATATGCACTCCTTCTCACAGCTTAAAGAATTACAGGACGACAATTAACGTAGGGCAAGAGAGATAGGTGATAATGTAGGTAGGTGGTGGTGACAGACAACTCTACCTGTTGTGGGTGGGAGTAGGTGGACCAAAAGAGGAACCTTCGCTTGTGTCTGCCCAGGTAGTTGACCAGCGTAAACTCCACTAGTGCCAGGAACACGAAGGCGGTACACGACCCCATCCAGATGTCCAGCGCCTTCACGTAGGACACTGGCGGACATAAGAGCGACACAATATAGATAAAGACTTGAGTCATTAATATTTACACAAAACTCTGACACTGGCTATTCTATACTTCAATTGCTACTCATCATTGCAATATTCAGGCTAGCCATTAAGGAACAGTATACTGAACATTTAAACATTCATATCTAACGTCATGGACCGGTGCTTCGTGCTTGAATATTCAGGTACACTATTTAAGGTTGAGCTCTTGATACTAGTCTGACATTAACTTGTAACGTCCCAGAGGAGAGACTTGATACATTTATTCCACATTGAAACATCCACCTCTTTATACTTTCACGGTGACACCATTTTTCTTGATGCAAATGTAAAAGATATATATTATGGTCGTGTGAGTCGATATAGAGACGTGTGGGAGGTGGTCGTAGGGTTGATCGTGGGCTGTGGTCAGTGGAGGTGGTCGTACCTGCAGGAGTCTTGTCCCTGAAGGCTGAAGATTCTGAACACACGGTGAGGAGTGTGGTGACCCCCAGAGTGACCCGGGAGGGGATGGCATCCACATCGAGCCAGAAACTAACCCACGACACCACCACGATGAGGGAGGTAGGGAGGTACGACTGCACCAGGTGGTAGCCGACGTTACGCTGTAGCTCAAACACCGCCTGTAGGCAGCTGTAGTTACCTGATGGAGGAAGATGGTGGTGATTAATTTCTTCCCAGTGCTTTTATGTGCGTGTGTCCTTGATTATGTGCGTGTGGCCTTGACTATGTGCGTGTGTTCGTGCCTCGGTGTGTGGTTTCCATGTCTTTGTGTGTCCTTGACTTTGTGTGTCCGTGCATGTGGTTACCTGTACGTATGTATGTGTGTGTGCATGCATGTGATTGATTGTGTGTGTAAATATTGTGTATACTTCTATGTGCTAGGTATTTTTACGGTTATATGTATGTATATATATTTCATGTAGATCCACAATGAAAACGTGGATAAGATAAATCTTGATAAAATCACACGGGAAAAGGGAAACAACGGAGCACCTTAGCTTTCGTCTTTATTCAAGACATCTTCAGAGGCATGGAAGGGATCCATTTATTTCCCTTCCATTCCTTGATATGCTTATCATGAGAAATGGCCAAAACTACAAATTTAAGGTATACAGAAAGCCCACACAGGTAGACAGTTTCATTCACTTTTTATCGAATCACCTGGAGTCTACCAAAATGTCAGTTTTTTCTGCTATGTTCTTAAGATGTCTGCGTATTTGTGACTCTGAATTTATTGACGATGAATTGAAACACATTCGTTCCATTGCACAGAAACTCGGGTACCCTTCTGTGTTTGTTGATCGTTGTTTTAAAAGGGCTAAAAAATCCTTTCATTCCTCTCAAACCAGACAAGTTCCTACACTTAAGAATATTTTGACTTTGCCCTATCGTATCGTAATGAATTTGTCCCGTTAGTTCGGTCCCTCAAGCTTCTAAATATTAATGTTGTTTTCAAGTATGACTCGACCATTACCAATATGTTAATAAGAAATAGCCCAAGTTTGAATGTAAATGGAAGTGTTTATTATATTCCATGTAGCAAATGTAATGGTAATTATGTAGGACAGACAGGAAAAACACTGCAGCTCAGAATCAAACAACATAAGTAATAATATCAGAACAGCATCTGAAAGCAGTGGCTTGTTCGTTCATGTTAGGAATAATAATTATCCCATTGCTTGGGGAAAAAGCTTAGAAGTTATTTAAATCATCTTGTGTCACAGAAAGACTTCTGGTTGAAGCTAGTTTGATTAAGGAATTAAAATCAATAAACCTTAGTGATGGTCAGTTCAAAACTGATAATATGTTACATAAATTTATTTGTCAGTGGCCCAAGGTTAAAAATGCTTTGAAAACCTTTGATCTAGATGTATGATAGTTATTTAGTGAGTCCCTTATTTTTGACCTGACCTGACTAGTCACGTCACCCCCCTTCTCTTAAGCTCCTCTACGTGTGTGTTGGTATGGGGATTAGTGGATGACATCATTATGACCTGACCTCATGTTTTTAAGGTCACCCTGTATATTTAAGCCTCACTCTGTCCATGTAATCGAGTTGCCTCTGAAGATGTCTTGAATAAAGACGAAAGCTAAGGTGCTCCGTTGTTTCCCTTTTCCCGTGTGATTTTATCAAGATGTATATATATGTAACTAAGTATGTGTATATGTAACTATGTATGTATGTATATATTTTTATGCCTTTATTAGCAACAACAACACCTGGTTGTGAGTTGAAGGGGGAGTCAAGCCTCACCTATATGGAAGGATAACGTACAGGTGTCAACGGTGATGTCCTTCACCTGGAACTGTGGCAGCTGGAGATCTTTGTACATCTTGATGGGATCTTGGTTGTACCACACCAGTTCCAGCTCCCGTGTTGTCTTGGCGACTGTAGGAGCAAGATGTTAGAATTGTTACAGAAACTCACGTACAGTTGACTCCATTCATAACAGGTACAGTGGCTGGCGAGTTTGGTGAGATGTGGCACCACCGCCCACCAGACAACAGGTAGGAACCAATGCCGTTCTACTTGGTAATTTATATTAAAACTATAACCCTGTAGAAAATGCGTCCATTCACGGATAGAGGGAGGACTGCTTATTTAGCATCCTTAGTCTGGTTAATATAGTGAGGATAGTTCTGCCCATTCTGCTAGTTGTACTACGATGTAAATAAAAAGTGGTGCCACATCTCACAAAACACGTCAGCCACTGTACTCGTAATAAATGGAGGCAACTGTACAGTACGTCTGTCATAATACAAATTATTGCATATAAATAACCATTGTTTTTTGTTTAGCTTTTAGATTCTTACGCATCTATAGTCAGACTACAACTTACAGCTGGCGACCTGGATGAAACAGGTCTGGTGGTCAAGAGGGAAGGTGGACATATCCATCATACAAGAGAACCTGAGCTTCATTCTGGGGGAGATACACACCTAAAATTATTTTGTCTGGGAAATTCCCGTAAAAAAAAAATCCTCTTCAAAAGAAAAAAAGGAAAATAATTCTTGAACGTAAAATCTATAAGCCAAAATAAAATGTGGGATATAAATGTGAATTGAAACTTTGAGTAAAAATTATGAAATGAGAGACATTTGATAATCCTGGAAAACTACCTGAGGATGTAAAGGATAGATCCGTCGGGATATATCCTGACGAGGACATTGGGGACGGTGACGTACTGAAAGTCACCATCTTTAGCATTAGGGAAGTACACCTCTGGCTTCCACAACATCTTGACCAGCGTGGGGTCATTAGAGTCGAGGGGCCGCACGAGGGAGCCGTTCAGGCGATGCTCTACCCACCGCTGACGGAGGTACAAGTCCACGGAGTAGTCCTGCCGGAGATGAGGCGTGAGTATAGGCCAGGATAACGACTGAATTGAACTTTAACAGAGGAATGTTAAGATCAATCAGGATAATACGATTTAAGAGCGTCTTCATTTTATTTAATGGAATGGCTTCGTCAGGGTTGAATTAATGATTATTTTATTAAGATCACGAGAAGAATTGTAACCACAGAATATTTGACCTTAAGAATAACAACCCTAACCTAACCCCCCCCCCCGCAGATAGCTCTCAAGACTCTAATATGTTTAAAGACTGTCTCCATTAATCACCAGGTGAAATAAGCCTAGGTGCCTAATCTCCACTATATCCCATTAATATATATGTAAATATCTACAGAGCTGTGGATTATTTCCTTGGTATTTGTCAAAACTTCTAATACAGTGATGTGAATTATTCATACTATGCAAATTAGAGTGTATATATTCTTGTTACTCTCAATATGGACGAAAATCTAATACATACACACACACAAATCTAGGCATCCGATCATATAATTGTGTACTATAAAAAGATAGTGGACTGATGAATAGTTTGCAAATGCTAGATTAGTCTTAGAGAGATAAAAAGAAGAGGAGAAACAGAGAGTAGTAAAGACAGATGGAAAAAGAGGAGAGAGACAAAATTACTTGAGAAGAGAAACAGTGCGAGAAAGACTGTGACAGAGAAGGAGATGACAAGAGAGGGAGAGATAGAGAAGGAAATCGATGAATCACAGAGAGACAGAGGTAAACAAAGGGAGAGAGAGAGACATAGAAAGTGACAAGAGTGTTCAGGTATACAAGTAAAAAGGCAAACAAAGTATCCTCACCATCTGAATTGGATTGATCGACCCAAAGCTTCGTATGTAGAGTTCAATGGTGACTCTACTGGCGCCATCTGCAGGAAGAGGAGAGAAGCTGTAAACTGGAGGAAACTGTATCACTCGCTCCAAAATGACATAACAAACGAAGGATTTTAATAACCCTACCGAGACAACAGGAGTCGTAGTGTTCGTTTTGAAATTCAATGGACCCCCTCAGTAAAGATACTTCTTGGAGTGTGTGTACGACTGTGATGGCATTGTATATAAGGTTGGTGGTACACTGAAGACGTGATGGGAGTTAGTACAGGTAAAATGGAGTTAGTACAGGTAAAAGGGAAATAGTACAGGTAAAAGGGAGTTAGTACAGGTAAAAGGGAAATAGTACAGGTAAAAGGGAAATAGTACAGGTAAAAGGGAGTTAGTACAGGTAAGAAAGGGAGTTAGTACAGGTAAGAAAGGGAGTAGTTAGAGGAGTTACACACGAACGTCGTTGTATGTTATCTTCCCTGGTCAACCGCACACAATCTGGAACATTTGAGCAGCCAGCCCCCCTCTCCCTCTACGTAGACGGTGTGTTATCATGGGAAGACAAGTCATAAAAACAGATTGTTTCCATTTCTCAGCGTGAGCGAGCGAGACAGTCTGAGCAAATGTGGCCACTCCTGGACGGTGGAAGGTCACACAACGCCCAGATGCACTTTCATCTGAGACCGTACCTAGGAGACCGTACCTGGGAGACAGTACCTAGGAGACCGTACCTAGGAGACCGTACCTGGGAGACAGTACCTAGGAGACAGAACCTAGGAGACCGTACCTGGGAGACAGTACCTAGGAGACCGTACCTAAAAGACAATACCTAGGAGACCATACTTAGGAGACCGTGCTTAGGAGACTATACCTGTAAGACCATGTTAACAAGACTATGCCCATGAAATCATAAATACCGAGTCACATCAAATTTGCATTGAAAACAGTGGACTTTCACTGCCTTTACATGTGTGCATTTATGGAAAAACACACACACACACACACACACACACACACATAGATATAAAGACAGGTAAAAAAACAAACAGGTAAACAATATGACAGACATAACAGATAGACAGACAGGAATATAGGTAGACAGACACAGGATACAACTGTCCAAATCACCACCATTATTACTACAGTACTCCTTCACCAATAACCATCTTCATCATCATTATTCATCACAACCTACACCACCATCAACACTATCACCATCACCATTACTAACATACTCCCCGATCACCACTACCACCACGATCACTACCACCACCACGATCACTACCACCAACACCAATACCACCATAGACCCCCAATCACCAACCACTACCACCATACCCCCCAGATCACCACCACCACCACCATCATCACCACTATCCCCCAATCACCATTAGAACCATTAACATCCTCACATTCAACATCACCATTACGTCCTTTCGCTCTGGTGGGGAAAAAAAAAGAAAATCGTGCCTGCCGCCTTGACTTCCCACTCTAATTATACACATGTTGACTGGTCGTACCTACACACCTTCACTCCCACCTGATAGAATCTGGACTTGGCTTTTTCCTGTGTTAATTAACGGGGGAATTATTATTTGCGGAGCAGTATGAGGGACCTGTCGTAGTCTCCATCGGTGAGCGTGTGTTGGCGTCGTCCCCGAGCGAGAAAATTGTCTCCTTTGACTGGAAAATTAATAACTATAGGATTGGGAGAGCCGGTGTTGTTGTCCTGGTAACGAGTTAAGAGGTATCAGGACAGGTGGAGGTGAGGTTTGGGGGAGGGTGTGGGGGAGGGTGACCATGGACAAGCGTTGGAGGAGAGAGTTGGTCATGATATTAGTGATGCCCAGGACAGGTGTATGGTGAACCTCCCTTAGGTGTGTGTGTGTGTGTGTGTGTGCCTTTAACATTTGTCGTAAGTTAAATATGTAGTCGTCTTACCTGTATGGGCGGTGGTCGTACCTGTATTGGCGGTGGGTGTCTGCCGACGGTCGTAGTTGGCAGGGTTGAGGAGAGTGTCCACTTTACGTAATTCAGGGTTAACGCCAAGACCTCCCAGCCGCCTGTAACACACACCACACCTGTATTAGAGGAAGGCATACAAGCACACACTACACCTGCCAGCTCATATACATTCAAGATAATACAATTAGGCAATTATCCATATTTAGTGTAATTAAATACACCTTCCATTTCAACAGTTCAGGTGAATACATTAAAATTTTGAAACGAGACATTTGTTAATAATGATCAAAGTAACATTTAATGCCTCACAGATTCACTGGATATAAAAGCATCAGACTGGAAGGATCAGATCCCTTACACCTTACACCTTGCTGGGTTTAAATGCATGAGGCTCAAAGGGTCTTAGGGTCTGGTGCCCCGAGCTGCTGGTCTTAAATACCCCAGAGGTGAAGTGTCTCAGAAGGACGGGATTACACACACAGACACACACACACACGTTGAGGTAAACATCCATTCTACAGACGCCAAGTTCAACTGTCTTTAACAACCGTAAGAAAGTTTCCTCTACGACTATTAGCAATAAACGGCCCTGGTCTCCTATTGGCTGTCGAATTGGGAATGTGTTTTGGCGGACGTAGGAAAACATTTATTTTTATCCAGACAATTTTACTTCATTAACAATCGTAACTATGTGTTCCCCATAAACGACCTGACAGACAGACAGACAGACAGAGGCGTAGCAGCTAAACTGAGAAACTCAGAGACTGAAAAAGAATTTTAAACAGATTCTACAAAAAAATACGACTGGGAGGGGGAGTAGAGTGAAGGAGGGATGTGTAGAGATGGAGGGGCTGGGAGGAGGAGGGAGGGATGTGTAGAGATGGAGGCTGTGAGAGGGAGATGTGAGATGGAGGGGCTGGGTGGAGAGAGAGAGGAGATGTAGAGATGGAGAGGGGCTGGGTGAGGGAGGGATGTGTAGAGATGGAGGGCTGTGGAGGAGGAGGGATGTGTAGAGATGGAGGGGCTGGGAGGAGGAGGGAGGGATGTAGAGATGGAGGGGCTGGGTGGAGGAGGGAGGGATGTAGAGATGGAGGGGCTGGGTGGAGGAGGGAGGGATGTGTAGAGATAGAGGGGCTGGGTGGAGGAGGGAGGGATGTGTAGAGATGGAGGGGCTGGGTGGAGGAGGGAGGGATGTGTAGAGATGGAGGGGCTGAGTGAGGAGGAGGGATGTGTAGAGATGAGGCTGGGTGGAGGAGGGAGGGATGTGTAGAGATAGAGGGGCTGGGTGGAGGAGGGAGGGATGTGTAGAGATGGAGGGGCTGGGTGGAGGAGGGAGGGATGTGTAGAGGACAGTAGGATGATGGGAGGGAACTGTTTTAGGAATTCTCTCTCTCTCTCTCTCTCTCTCTTCCTCTCTCTCTCACCTGGATTTAATGCCACAGTCTGTAAAGTTTCCTTCCCTGATATATTGTGGAAAGTTGTTGTGTGTGTGTGTCATGATTTGTGTGTGTGGTCATGACTGAGGAACGAAAAAGACGAGTCACCGAGGGTATGGTATTGGTTAAAGTGTGGTAGAGGTAATCTGGTGGATGTGTCTGTGTTTAAACTATGGTCACTGGTAATATAAGCACCCCCAATACTTAGCGTTATCCTAACCTAACCTAACTAAAACCTAACCTATCCTAACCTAACCTAACCAAAACCTAACCTAACCTAACATAACCTAACGTAATCTAGAGATGTGAAATATTTTACATAAGTCTTCTCCAGTTCTCCGGAAGTTAATCTCCGCAGGAATAAAATTGTAAAGCTTTCTCAGTCAAAATTAAGAGAGAGTAAAGGACAGATAGACAGACAGATAGACAGACAGACAGACAGACAAAGTGAGAGAGAGAGAGAGAGAGAGAGAAAGAGAGAAAGAGGTGATACTGTTGTCCCGGTCCTCAGTAATAATAATAAAATTCTTCCTGTCGTAATATTAATGGCTGCTGCTGTAAGTACACGTCCAGGTGACAGATGGTATAAATTTTTATCACCTGTAGAGAACCGACCAGTCAATCAACCAGCTAGCCAATCACAGACCAGTCAATCAACCAGCTAGCCAATCACCCATCTAATCAATCAACCAGCTAGCCAATCACAGACCAGTCAATCAACCAGCTAGCCAATCACCCATCTAATCAATCAACCAGCTAGCCAATCACATACCAGTCAATCAACCAGCTAGCCAATCACCCATCTAATCAATCAACCAGCTAGCCAATCACAGACCAGTCAATCAACCAACTAGCCAATCACCCATCTAATCAATCAACCAGCTAGCCAATCACAGACCAGTCAATCAACCAGCTAGCCAATCACCCATCTAATCAATCAACTAGCCAATCACAGACCAGTCAATCAACCAACTAGCCAATCACCCATCTAATCAATCAACCAGCTAGCCAATCACAGACCAGTCAATCAACCAGCTAGCCAATCACCCATCTAATCAATGAACCAGCTAGTTAATCACCATCCAATCAATCAACCAGCTAGCCAATCACCCATCCAATCAATCAACCAGCTAGTTAATCACCCATCTAATCAATCAACCAGCTAGCCAATCACCCATCCAATCAATCAACCAGCTAGCCAATCACCATCTAATCAATCAACCAGCTAGCCAATCACAGCCAGCCAGTCAATAATGTACTCGAGTAGATCCGCTTATCTAAAATCCGGCTCAAGATAGTGCTATTCCTTAGACTCTTCAAGCCACGGGGTATATAAAGGTCAAAATCCTTATAAATATCTTAGAAAATAGGCTTTATTGCAAAGTGTGTGTGTGTTTGTTTGTTTGTTTTTTTTCGTTTGTTTTCATTATTGCGAAAGTTTGTTGTTGTGAGCGATATTGGCAAACGAAGTCGAAGCTTTACGATGGATTTTAGCGAACGGTAATGGTGTGTTGAGAGAGAGAGAGAGAGAGAGAGAGAGAGAGAGGCACAATACAGTTCATTCGAGAAGAAATCCTTACAGTTTCAGACAATGCAGCTGCCCTAAAAACAACAACCTACACTACAACGCTCTTGAGATAAATCTGCGAGAGTGTGTGTGTGTGTGTGTGTGTGTGTGTGTGTGTGCTGTGTGTGTGTGTGTGTGTGTTTTGTTTACATACTGCTTTCACATCTTTAATGTCGCTAAATATAACAATGGAAGATGTTTCTTTTTACGTAGCTGGTTGTAGGAGGAGGATTGGGGTTAAGAACAGAGAGAGATGGAGACATTTACTCGGATTAAAAAAAAGGAACATCATACGCCCGCCACTGCTGACGAATGGCAACAACCCTGAAATCTAACCATTCAACCCAAACTATCGTACAGCATTGAGTCCAGGTTAGGTTTTGACAATACCAATAGGTAGAAAGATATATGTTTAAAAATAATCACTGCAATAATATAGTTCTTGATGAAATTGTTTCCTCTCTTAAGTCATCTTCAAGAGAATATTATACCACCCCCACAACATCAACACAAAACACGTCACCTCCTCTTGCGGTCTTATTATTATTATTATTATTATTATTATTATTATCCTCCTCCTTCGTCAGGGTAGTCTCGTGCACCTTGGGGGAAGCCTCCTTTGCCACAACTCATTACCAAAATCACAGCCCGAGTAATGACCTTATTAACCAGGCGTTTATGTGACACGCATGGTAGAGGTGTGGGGAGCTGGGAATGGACGAGGGAAGAGGAGGGGAGAGATGGGTAAAGGAAAGGAGAGATAAACGGAGGAGAGAAGAAATGGGTAAAAAGGAGAGAGAGAAGAGATATCCATTTTTTTTCTTTCTTTATCCAATTATCTATCTCTCTCTCTTTCTCTTACTCTCTCTACATCCACATTTTCCTCTTCTTCTCAAATCATCCATAAAAATGATTTACATAACAGGTAAACCACTACTTACGGTACAGAGCATCACTATCAATCATGTTAAATCAGGATTCCCGCATCGCCGCTTCTACCATTAGCGTACCGTACAGAGCGTCCCGTGGGGCTCAGTAATGACCCTACGTGTATTATAGGATCGACCATACGAGTCTCCCCTATCCCTCACTAGTTGTTGGTCCTATGCTGCCTCTCTCATTATTCTCATCTCTCCCCTATCCTCCCCAACCACATCACTGTATCTCTCTCCTATCCTCCTCAACCACATCCCTGTATATCTCTCCTATCCTCCCAACCACATCCCTCTATCTCTCTCCTATCCTCCCAACCACATCCCTCTATCTCTCTCCTATCCTCCCAACCACATCCCTCTATCTCTCTCCTATCCTCCCAACCACATCCCTCTATCTCTCTCCTATCCTCCCAACCACATCCCTTATCTCTCCCCATCCTCCCAACGACATCCCCATTTCTCTCCCATCCTCCCCAACCACATCCCTGTATCTATCCTTCCCAACCACATCCCCTATCTCCCCCATCCTCTCAACCACATCCCTGTATCTCCAACCACATCCCTCTATCTCTCTCCTATCCTCCCCAACCACATCCCTCTATCCTAACCTCTGTCTCCATCCACTCCTCCTTCTCATATATCCACTATGATCCAAACTGCCGCTTGCCCCTTGCCCTAATCTCCCTATCAGCCTCCCCTGCCATAATTTCCCTCTCAGCCTCCCTTGCCCTAATCTCCCTGAGCCTCCCTTGCCCTAATCTCCCTGAGCCTCCCTTGCCCTAATCTCCCTGAGCCTCCTTTACCCTAATCTCCCTGAGCCTCCCTTGCCCTAATCTCCCTGAGCCTCCCTTTCTCCCTGCCTCCCTTTCCTAATCTCCCCTCCCTTTCCCTAATCTCCCTGAGCCTCCCTTGCCCTAATCTCCCTGAGCCTCCCTTTCCCTAATCTCCTGGAGCCTCCCTTTCCCTAATCCCTGAGCCTCCCTTACCCTAATCTCCCTGGCCTCCCTTTCCCCTAATCTCCCTTCCTTTCCCTAATCTCCCTGAGCCTCCCTTTCCCTAATCTCCCTGAGCCTCCCTTGCCCTAATCTCCTGAGCCTCCCTTGCCCTAATCTCCCTGAGCCTCCCTTTCCCTAATCTCCCTGAGCCTACCCTAATCTCCCTGAGCCTCCCTTGCCCTAATCTCCCTGAGCCTCCCTTGCCCTAATCTCCCTGAGCCTCCTTTACCCTAATCTCCCTGAGCCTCCCTTACCCTAATCTCCCTGAGCCTCCCTTTCCCTTATCTCCCTCTCAGCCTCACAACCCGTGCACCACCTAATGTCCACCGTTTACGATACCTTCATTAACTCTCTTGAACTTTAATTAGTATTTACATCATTATTTTGTTATTATCTAAAGGTCTTATGAACCCATTAATTATTATGATATATTTTAAATTAATGATTGTTGTTATTCTAATTGGTTTTGTTATTTGTCATTAGCGTTAAAGATGTTATAAATTGAAGGTGTTTCCGAGACATAATATTCAGTAAAAGAAAGGAACGTTGTAACTGGTGAAATATGTACATTATATACACAGGTAATTAATTATCCACCTGAGGAATAATAATAATAATAATAATAATAATAATAATAATAATAATAATAATAATAATAATAAACTAAACACACTTTCTATTAGGGACTCAGTGGGAATATTCTGCCAGCTGGTGTATGGATTTAATAAATTCTACGGATTTAAGAAGCCATATTAAGGACCTCCTAACTTTGGGCACTGGGACGTTAGGCCAATGGGAACCAACTATAGACTTTATGATTTAAGCTGAGATGATGACTCTCTCTCTCTCTCTCTCTCTCTCTCTCTCTCTCTCTCTCTACGTAGATACATAAAAGAGATTCGTGGAAAAGGGAGATATAAATTAGATTCACAGCAGAAGTCGAGAATTAATTTGAAAATCACAGAACCAATTGACATCTTGAGCGTCCCTGTAGAAGATCGATCCTAAAATTTGGAGTTAATGAAGTGTTTACGTTTTAACCCAGCGCCTTCTGATTTATATCATTCACTCCGAAAGATTAGTTTATGGCTACTGGTGTATAAAAATACTTCTTCACTTGTATTCAAATGTGATATTGTTTAAAATAATTAAGATCACGATAGATAAGAATAGTACAGTAGAGAGATTTATACTTGGTTAGGTTACTTACCTGAAGGTGGAAATCTGTTGTACCGAGATGGAAGCCAAAGTCAGTACGAAGGTCAGAACACGTGAACTCATCTTTCTGACGGGTTAATGGCGTCAGTAATTAATGGCGTCTAATAGTAGCCACTTAATGGAGGCGGCTTACACCCTTGTCTCAGTTAATGCGTATTCAGTCACTTACGAACTTAAGAGAGAAATTTCACTGTGTTTCTGTCTTTAATCGTTTTAGTTTTCTGTTGGCAGGAAGTTACGTAACGTCTGGTTGGTTGTCTCACGTTCTGAAATAAAAATAAAATAAATCAATAAAATACTCTAGATATTCTACTACATGAGAAACTATTGTGAACAAGTAGAACGATAAATAAGACAAATTTCTACGTTAACTGGAGAAATGGCGGGAAAAAATTTAGCCCATGTGTCTCCTGTCAGCTCTAACACACTTCCATCTCCCATAATCATTAGTTGGTGATGAACTAGTTTAGGTATTAACATTATTATACACTTAACGACCTTAATTGATGAAGTACAGTCATAGCATCATAACGACAATATCACCTTTACATACACAATAAGCGAATATGTTAGCAACTTATTAATAGACACTAAAGATTGTAAAAAAAAAATGAATAAAAATATCAGTGATAAAACAAGACCAAAGACACGGGCAAGAACAGGTCCTTGGCCAGGTGTGTGTGTGTGTGTGTGTGTGTGTGTGTGTGTGAGCCTCGCCAGAATTAAATCATTAAAACTTAAGTGCCTCGTCTGACTTGGATAATATTCATAGATGGAAAAGTTTCCCATTCTCTTTTTCTTTCTCGTCTTTAGTATCTTAAGTGAACCATTTGTCTGTGGCGTAATGACGGCCTTGCTGTCCGTCTTCCAATCACTTACGAATTTAAAGATTTTTGTTACCTTTTTCTATTAGCTGTTCAAGAAGGAACTTTACCCAAAAATGATTCATAAAAGCCAAGAGCCTTAGTCCCTGGCTGTTGTTTTGAGTTTATCTGTAACCTGGATAAAGAATTAACCTCTAGTGTTCATCGGCCGAAGGAGTGAGTGATCTTCCCAACACCTCAGTTAAAATATTCTTCGTGGTGAACTAATTACTTGTTAAACTCTCTCTATTATAACTTATGCTTTTATCTTTTAAACTGTAAAATCTCAAATCTTTAAAGTCAATAAAAACTCAGCATTTAAAATTAATGAATGGCATTTTTTTAGTATACAAAGTACCGTCGCCAGAAACTCGATTCGAGGAACTTGTTGATAACACTCAGTAGCAGAAATGGGATCGTAAACATTCGTGACAGAGAGAAATTATTGGAGTTGGGTTCTTTAGAAATTGTAATCTCATATTTCTTATCTATTTACATATAAAAAATCCCATTCTTACTCAGGTAATGTCGCACAGTAGCCTCGGTGTCGTGTTTGGCCGCCATCCTGGAGTCTGAGGTGAAGTGAATCTCTTAAATTCATTATCACGTTTCCGGTTCGAGGGTAAATTAACGTATGAATCTTTGAGGCTCCGGATTCAGATTCTGTCTAGTACGGATTCGTTACCGTGCAGAAAAACAAAACACTGCCTGAGTTAAAAAATAAATAAAACGAAGTGAATCTTTTCTCTCAAATTTTATTTATATATAACTACTGACAGACTAATTCCCACCACAAATTGGGTTTCAAATTGAGGTTACTAAATTGTGCAAGGTCTTGAATCTCTACACACGGCTCCTTAATTGCCTATTCGAAGTTTTAATTGAGCAGGTGAAGACTTCGGCACCCATGTGAAGACTTACCTGATTAACCTTGGCAACTTGACCCCCCTCCCGTCGGTCTGGTATAAAGGTTGTTTATCTGCTTGTCCTCACCTGCTGTCTTCACCTGCCGCCCTCACCTGCCGCCCTCACCTGTATACGCGTCTCTTCAACTAATTAATATTTCATTCTTTCCCTTAAATTTTACATCATGAGTTCAATGACAGTAATTCATGGTTGTTTTTTTCGTTGGTTATATACATACATGCACTCACACACACACACACACACACCTCCTCATTTTCTCGTTTCTCAATTAAATGTGAATTCTCCATATAATACTTATAAGCAGAAGCAAATGTCTGTCTGTTAAGTGACAATTATAAACAGACGAACAGACACAACTGACAAACCACAACAGGCTTTAGGATGACAAACAACAGAATCAACGGCACCAGGGTAAATTATGCCAACAGAAAACGGTAAACGGGTGAAAGTTCCTGTTTTACTTAATTACTACAAGAGTGGTGGTGGTGGTGGTGGTAGTGGTAGTGATGATGGTGGTGGTGGTAGTAGTGGTAGTGATGGTGGTGGTGGTGGTGGTGGTGGTAGTGGTAAAGGAGCACCTTGGGGCCTAATTTGTGTATCTCACGTCTCCGGTAGACCCTAGGGAGATGGGAAGAGAGGAAGAACGTCCGGTTGGGTAATGAAGGTGAGGGTCTTGTGACACAGTGGAAACATCTCTCTCTCTCTCTCTCTCTCTCTCTCTCTCTCTCTCTGTTATTGCCTTACCTATCAAGCTCCCGGCAGACCACAAAACAACACCTCCTAGCGCTACTTGTCAACCTCCTCCTCCTCCTCCCCACCCTCGTTCCCCTCTCACGCCAACGAGTCAGCTAAGCATTTTGTTTTTATCTCTAACAGAAGGTAGAGGCCATCCTTAATGCTCTGTAGTCCTCACGCGGGAACAGTGAAGGTGATATTGGAGGCTGTTTCTCTCTCGTCTCCCCATCCCCCATCACCACACTCCCCCGTCTGAAGTTTCTCGACTAATCTCGTGCGGTACTGTTATTGTTGTTGTGGTTGTTGTGGTTGTGGGTGTTGTTGGTGGTGGTGGTGGTGTTATTATTGTTGTTGTTGTGGTGGTTGTGGGTGTTTGTTGTGGTTGTGGTTGTGGTTGTTGTTGTTGGTGGTGGTACTGTTATTGTTGTTGTGGTTGTTGTGGTTGTGGGTGTTGTTGGTGGTGGTGGTGGTGTTATTATTGTTGTTGTTGTAGTTATTGTTATTGGTATTATTTATGAACCTGTTTGAAATGTTACAACTTAGGGAATTATAATAACCACTTAAATCATGAACACTTAAATCCTACAGTAAGAGACCAAACACAAAAAGGTCATTGTTTATTTTGACAGTAACTTACGGCTCTTTTCTACAGTGTTAAAAGGACCGTGTAGAATTGGAGGACTTAGGCGTTATTACTGTATCATAAAAGGAAATTAGTTCATATACGGTAAAAGTTGTTTATTTACATTTCATCATAACCTAACCAAACAATGGATAATAATTACACTGTATACATCAAAGTCCTTTATCTCTTTAGTAATCCTGTCACAACCTGGTTCACAATTCCTACGGTTGTTACTCTCCAAATATTGACCTGATCATTTACCGTCTATGTACCGGAAATGACGGATCATCATGACGGTGTGTTGACAATCTCTCATCCTGTCACAAGATTCCGTCGGGCTCTATCTCCTACCATTACCAGATTAAACCCCTATCCATCCACCCACTGACCCACCCCACCCCACCCCACCCCAGCCCACCCCGACCTCAGCCCACCCCCACGGTATTTGGTGTGAGTGAGAATTCTTGGTTACTTGAATAGGTGGAGGTAATGTTGTTATCCTCGTCTGTTTAATTGTTGGTCTGTGTTTGTCAGTGTGTGTATCTCTCTCTCTCTCTCTCTCGCTCTCGCTCTCTAAATGTGTCTTTCTTTCTTTCTTTCTTTCTTTCTTTCTTTCTTTCTTTCTTTCTTTAACTTTTCAGGGTCTACTGTATATGCGTTTGTCCTCTCTCTCTCTCTCTCTCTCTCTCTCTCTCTCTCTCTCTCTCTCTCTCTCTCTCATTACACTCCAAAGTTACAGAAAATTAAATACACAAAGGCATTCTTAACTCCAACAACAACTACAACTACAACAACTACAACAACAAGAACAACAACAACGCAAAACTTACATCTCTCCCGAAAAATTAAACAAATATGGAAAATCTTTAAAACAAAAACAAAATATCGGTACTGTATCGGGACGTAAACGATGTGGAGGGATAAATTCCTATGTTGGTTATCGGGACATCACCTTTATTGCTATTACATTCCGATATCGTAAAGTCAATCGCTTCATACAGTCGAGTATAACGTTACGATGCTGGGAGTTTAATGATTAGAGGATATCTAACCTAACCTAACCTAACTTAACCTAACCTATCTTACCTAACCTACCTAACCTACCTAACCTAAACTAACCTAACCTAACTTAACCTATCCTACTTAACCTACCTAACCTAACCCAGCCTAAAATAACATAACCTAGCACAGATTAACCTCACCTAACTTAACCTATCCTACTTAACCTACCTAACCTAACCCAGCCTAAAATAACATAACCTAGCACAGATTAACCTAACCTAACCAACGTTCTAATATCGTAACTTTAAACACTTCAAAAAAAAAAACTAAAAATCATATTATGGTCTTTCCTCCCTCCATCTCTCCCTTCCTCCTTACCTCCTTCATTCCCCCCTTTCCTCCCTCCCTCCTTCATACCCCCTTTCCTCCCTCCCGCCTTCCCTCTTACCCTCACGAGTTCAATGCATTAGATAGACTGGCTGTGATCAGGGACTCTTGGCTGGAGCTCTTGAGTTGTGTGGAGTGTTGACTCTTAGGGGGTGAGGGGAGGATACATTAAGGGAATAAATGAGAGAGAGAGAGAGAGAGAGAGAGAGAGAGAGAGAGAGAGAGAGAGAGCATCTGATTCACTCCACGGTACCCAATTTCGAACCTGGTGGAAATAATATCGAAAATTGGTCGGTCTCAATATCACTTTGGCATCGTGTATTAAACCAGATATTGTCCCATATTGTACCAGTCCCTTCATCCACCATCGTCCCATATTGTCCCAGCCCCTTCATCCACCATCGTGCCATCTTCAGACGTGTATAAGATTGGATACGTTCTCTGATAATGGCGCTGATATCACTGACCGTATGTTAGAAGAGATCCTCTATGAGTTGTGTGTGTAATAATAATAATAATAATTAACGGTTTATTGAAAAAGTTCTGCAGCCCGAAGGCTGAAAATATACATTGGACATAAATGACTTATTACATACATTGGTGGTTTAACAAAAGCCTTCATTAGGGAAAGGTAAAGGAACATACAGTGAACATACAGATTAATGTAGGTGTTGAACAGCAAACTCGTAGTGTAGTAATTCCCTCGCAGATGGTGTTATGAGGGGCCTCACGTGGTGTAGTAATTCCCTCAGATGGTGTTATATGAGTGAGGTGTGGTCCCAGGCCTTCCTATCGTAGACGGATTAACACATCGCTGGTTGTTGTTGGGTCTCACGGGCCGTTATCATTGGGTACCTGGGACCTCACTGTGTGAAGGTTAACTTGGGTACGACAGTTACTGTTGAGTTGTTCTCACTGACTTAAGCACTGTTCACCACTGTTCACCTCTGTTTAACACTGGTTCCGTTCCTTTCCTAAATGAAATTGTAACTTCTGGCGAGAACTTGTTGATATTCCGGTAGGGAGGGAGGTTCAGGGGAGGGGGTTGGTATGGGCCAACTTAACAGTTGACCTGGCTGCTCCGAGAGGAGCGCCAGGTACGTCTTGACCCTTCGGTGGTCAAGGATGTGTGTGTGTGTGTGTGTGATTGTTCGCTGCTATCGACGTCACGAGACACCCTCCTCCCCCCCTCTCACCACCCCCCCTTTCACCTCACGGAGCAGCCATCAGCATCCATCGCAAGAGATAAGCCCGGTATTCTTTAAGTTTTTATTTATCTCGTGTCCATTATTCAAAACAAACATCGATGGCGGCACGGAATTTTCTTGAAATACTGACAGAAAAATCGTATTATCTTTGGTTTGGTTAGGTTAGGTTAGGTTAGATTAGGTTTCGGAAAGTAAATTGATGAGTTTCCAGTTTTAAGTAACATAGAAGAATAACCACACGATAATACTTGTCTTCTCTTATCTTCACTACTTAATGTCTCTATGATAATGTTACTAAATATTAGTAATCACATTAACGTCTTTTCTCTCTCCATCCTCCCTCTTTCCTCCCTCCCTCCCTCCCTCCTTCTCCCTCTCCCTCCCTCTCCCTCCCTCTCTCTCTTCCTCCCTCTCCCTCTCTCCTTCGGATTTATTTTGATTCTTTGTTTCTTTAATGTTTCTCTCTTCCTCTTATTATTTTCTCTTTCTTATTCTTTATTGTCTTTCTTCATCATTTTTTTCTTTCTATTTTACTTATGCCTCTCTCTCTCTCTCTTCATCATTTTTTTCTCAGTAACTCACCCACGTTCTATCTGGATCTGTCTCTGATCTGAAAAATTTAACGTGTCAATCTCAAAATGGTGTTTAAAATGGACAGAAAAATTATGTGAAATCAAAGAGTGAGGATGTGACCACCTGGGGCAACGGTGAACTCAGAACCATTGATGTTGGTTACCCCCAGGAAGTTAGTTCTGTCTCTGCCTCGAATCACTCTCTGGTTTGTCTTCTGTCTTTTCTCTCTCTCTCTCTCTCTCTCTCTGTCTACCCATCTCTATCTCTCTGTCTCTCTCTGTTTTTATCTTTTTCATCTTTGTTTCTCTTTCATCTCTTTCTCTCTCTGCCTACTCCTCTCTCTCTCTCTCTCTCTCTCTCTCTCTCTCTCTCTCTCTCTCTCGCTTTCACCAACAAACAAAATAATCATTTATAACTATAGTAATTAAGGAACTACTAACAAGCGAAACAAGTAACTCGTCCCAGAATATACCAATCAAACAGAAAGTTTACTAAACAACTAATAAACAAGTTCTCCCTATCCCTGTAAACAACTAATGCACTACATAACACTCAACAGTAAACAACAACAAGTGACGTAACAGGTAAACAATAAACCGAGTATAAACAATAAATCATGATCAACCAAAACAAATCAAGGTTGTAAGCAAACACAGGTAAACAAGAGATATATATATAAGCAAAGAACACCTGTAAACAACGAAAAGGTGATTAAACTAAGATAAATTATATATCCAGAGAGAAAAATATCGAAAATCAATTAGTAGAGTAACAAACCCCAACTTGATTAGCTAAACAATTCCCTCTCAATCAACCAACGTATCACACACACAGACACACACACGCACACACACACACACAATCACAAATACCATTCCATTGTTTCACTTTAATGGAAGCCAGTTAACTCACCCCTTTCAGCCTACGTCGTTAATTAAAAAGTGACCTCAAACGATGTCATTCATATATGTATGAGCATTTTTTTACCTCAACTAATTTTCGCTTAGTTAAAATAAAAACAAAAACTTATCTCTGGTAAAAACGTTCTAAAAAGTGTGACATATATTTTTACTCTATATATACTTATCAATAGACTTATATAGAACATTAAAAAAAACCACTACAGCAACATTTAAAACACCAGACAATCTTACTCAAAACGTAACGAAACTTCTTCAAAAAACACACAATAACTCTACCGCAGTGTTGCCAGTACTGAGTGTATTCCTGTAGGATGAGAGGTACCCCACTACCACCGTCAGTTCACTGTGTCAGGAGCTACTGGCCGCCACAGACAACGACACCGACAATTATTAGAGTTATAAAAATAAACAAAAGACGATCATTGAAAATAATTGAATCGTCTTTAGGGGGGGGGGGGAATCACGCAACAAGCGACTCAATCGTTTACTGAGTTATCTCCTCCACTGCATTCGTTGACACAGTTGGAAGTTTATTTGACGTAGATAACATTTCACTTAGGGTCTTACCAATAAATTTATCAATACATATTTTTTTCTCAATGATTTTAGTCTTGAATCAAATCTAGAATAATCAGATCATAATATGGAATGAACGTTTGGTTAATGTGGATAATTTTACACCTCAAGTTTTATAAAGTTTAGATGAGAATATTGTATAGTATTTTAAATGTTGTTTCAGTGTTCTTCTACCAGTGTGTTCATATTTACCTGTGTGTTAGAGGATCTTTATCTCAACCAGGTAATGTGTTCTGTTCAGTGACTTACACATTACTACGTGTAAAGGTCTTTTTATATTTTCTAAACTTTATGTATATTTCTTATAGGCTGTGGTGATGGTGTAAGTCTTACTAAAACGTTGACCAATAAAGGTAAGGATCATAATTATTACAAGAGCATACACAGGTAAGGAAATTGAGCATTCTCTCTCTCTCTCTCTCTCTCTCTAAACTCGTAATTTTCTTTCAGTAACATGAGTCAGAGGACTATGTAAACAAACAAGAAGTGTTACCATTGTCGGCAAGGAATAACACCAACTCACCGAGCAGTGTTGCCAATGTCCACCAGCACCACTACAAAGGTTACACTACCTCTCGACACCGTGGCTGGCGGCAGACTGAACCAAACCAACCTGCTGCTGCTGTTCCTGCCCCCACCACCTCCACCTCCACGCGCTCTTCCTTCATGTTCCTCCCACTCACACCTTCCTCATTACTCACACCTTCCTCTTTACTCACACTTACCTCACCACTCATCATCCTCACCACTCATCATCCTCACCACTCATCATCCTCACCACTCATCATCCTCACCACTCATCATCCTCACCACTCATCATCCTCACCACTGACCATCCTCACCACGCATCATCCTCACCACGCATCATCCTCACCACTCAGTGACGGAGGGAGGGAAGGAGGGAGGAAGGGAGAGGGTGGGAAAGAGAGAGGATGAGAGGGAGAGAGGGTAAGAAGGAGTGAGGGAGGGAGAGAGGGTAAGGAGTGAGAGAGAGAGAGGGTGAGAGGGAGGGATGGAGGAAGAGAGAGAGAAAGAAGGAGAGGAAAGTAATGAGGGAGGGAGGGAGGGAAGGAAGAAGAAGGGAAGGGAGAGAAGGACGAGGAAGAGAAGGATTAATTTCATATTAGGTTTGCCAGGTGTGTAATCTTGGGGCTTAAGCCATGTTGTCTAGTGGCAGAGGAGGTCCAGGAGATCGTAAGCTTGGTAGAACTGAGGTCGGATTCCCAGAAGATCGTAAACGGTAACTTTCCCTCGTGACTTGAGATGTGAAAAAAATATATCAGTGATTAACTCGAGATAACGTACAATACTGCATCTGAAATTGACCTGATAATTATACTGAGATTCTTTCTTACTTTTTTTCACTTAGGAATGAATAATAAACAAAATTAATGTTAGGAGGACTATATACTGTCTGTCTGGCATCTATCAATACTCTCCTGCGTGAAAGAAATACATTATAAATACATTTTATTTTGGTGATATATTTCGGCTGCGTTAGTCATCACAATAAGGTAATGGTTTATGATGCCCTAAGTTTATATCCTGACACCTGGGGTATCATATTGTGTGTTAATGTGGAACACAGAGACATTGAGGAAGTTCACCCCAAAATTAACCAAAGACGCATTTTCTTTGACAGTTCATTTAGTGTCTTTCGAAAACGATTCCAATTTCAGGCCAAACTTAGAATATTTTTTCTAGGCGTTGATAAACATATTATAGATCAGATCAGGTCTTCAATTTAGTGGTCTTTGACTGCGAGGTTCACTAATTCCAAATCAAAACCACAACATGGAGGGTGTTGGAATCCATTGTGATGGAGGGAGGTGGGACATGGTCGGAGGAGAAGTTAATGCGTATAAACATTTGCGGTAGACCAGTCAGGGAAACTGTTCAGTATATTATGGAGGGCGCTATAGTCAGGAACCAAGTTGTTCTCAGAGGATACTAAAGGTGAAAACATTGACATATTTCAGTGAAAGAGAGTATCCTTCAGGGTATCGTTGATGAGGACTAAGGTGAGAAATCCCTTCCTAGTGCTTTTAGGGACGTTGCAGGTGAAAGGTGAAGACAGCCTCTCGAATACGTACAGCTTAACATCGGTCCCTGAGGAAGTCTTTAAACCATAGAATAAGTCTTCTTCGAATCCCAAGGTTAATGACTTTGTTGATAATTATGCTGTGATTGGCGAAGTCGAACGCTTTAGTAAAATCCGTGAAGCTGAGAGACACAGAGATCTTACGTTTCTCTAGGTAACAGAAGATGAAATAATGGGAAGCTGATAAAGCAGTGGGTGGTGGAGGTACTATGACTCCTGTAGTGTCAGCATGAACCCGGCTATAGATTAGACGAGGTACTGGGGGTAATGGCTCGAAGTTTTGCTTATATGAACGAGGCATTGATGATGTAGAAGAAAGGTTTAACTAGAGCCTGAGAGGTTTCCTTGTGGGGCTTCATTGGTAGGTCGATGGGAGTGGTGGAGAGCTTAAACGCAAATTATTTCTTCTTCTTCTTTCCATTATCGTGTTACATTTATTTCATCCGGCTGATTTCTTTTTTTTGCATTATTATTATTATTTGTTTATTTCCTCGCAATTACATTTTCCCCCTTCTTTTCCTCTTAATGCATTTACCCTTCATAGTCAATATATTTCCCCTTTTCTGGCACTTCCCTTTATAATTTTTTCCCCTCTGATTCAGATTATTTCCCCCTTGTTACCTTTCTCTTATATATTTCTCCCTCGGGTGTTTTCTTTTCCATCTTATTTTACAATATATTTTTTTCCCTTAGCTTATTTTTTTTTCATTTCTTATTAAACTTTCTCTAACTGGTGAATAACGTTAAACTTTATTATCCTTTTATAACTTATTCATTTCAATGGGGATTATTTTTATTTTATTTTATTCTTATTAATCGTATATTTACTTTTGTTTAATCCTGATGAGTTTTTTTTAATAGGAATTTTGTTGTGCATTTTTAAAGGTAGTGTTGTTTTATTTTATGCCTTGACCAAAATAATAACCATCATCGTTCCATCTCATTTACTAATCCTGATTCTCACGACTTACTGAATTTATTACTTATGATACATTAAACCTGATATCCGTGTCCCTTGACCAGTCTGTGTATTTCGATATATTTAGTTAACTAATGTAGTCTCTTATGCACTTCTGATTAGCCATGTTATATTACGGTCCATTAAACCGAATAGTCCTCGTAGATAAGCCAAGGGTGTATAAGTTGAGTCAGTCATATTCTGTGCGACTTCTGAAACTAAACACTTGTTGAACAAGAACACGGGTGCAGCGTTCCTTGTCAGAGCGTTAACGAGGCTGTCCAGTTGTGTTATGTAGGGCCATGGCGTCAACTGGCCAGGTCGTCAACAAGACTTCCCAGGTGTGTAATGTAGGGCCATGGAGTTAACTGGCCAGGTCGTCAACAAGACTTCCCAGGTGTGTTATGTAGGGCTATAGAGTTAACTGGCCAGGTCGTCAACAAGACTTCCCAGGTGTGTTATGTAGGGCCATGGAGTTAACTGGCCAGGTCGTCAACAAGACTTCCCAGGTGTGTTATGTAGGGCCATGGAGTTAACTGGCCAGGTCGTCAACAAGACTTCCCAGGTGTGTTATGTAGGGCCATGGAGTTAACTGGCCAGGTCGTCAACAAGACTTCCCAGGTGTGTTATGTAGGGCCATGGAGTTAACTGGCCAGGTCGTCAACAAGACTTCCCAGGTGTGTTATGTAGGGCCATGGAGTTAACTGGCCAGGTCGTCAACAAGACTTCTGTGTTATGTAGGGCCATGGAGTTAACTGGCCAGGTCGTCAACAAGACTTCCCAGGTGTGTTATGTAGGGCCATAGCGTCAACAATGATGTGTTGTATAAGGTTCACTACACCATGATAATGGATCCATTTCGAGGAATTTTTGCTGAAAATTTCTCACTATGCCCAGGTGACCCCCTCGCCAACTTAGCCCGAGTCATTAGCCTTTACACCTGGCTACACACACACACACACATATTACCTTAACAACACCTCAAAGTTTCTCAGCGCATTTTCCTCTTTCCCTCCACCTCACCACAACAAATCGATGACGCGTAACAGAAAATCAAATCAAACACTGTGACCACTTGTAGGTATGTTTCTCCTACACTCCAGTGTGGCGCTAATTGGGATAACCGCCTATTAAAATTTAAAAAGCAACTGATGTTATTGCCAAATAGGATTAACTATTTTCTTTTTATTGCTACACCTTAATAGAATTTAATCTCTATATGATAAAAATTTATTGTGTATCATTTCAGACGTCGTAGATTAGGTTAGACTAAATGTTCTATGAAACTAATCGTCTATTTACTTATCATATGATCTACATAATCGTCTATGGCCAATCAGAAGCGTCAAAACAACTACATAGACTTTATTGAAACTACAAACACATCTTAAGAGTAACAACAGATCCTCAGTAAGATCTAACAACACTGAACCGTGAACTAACAACTATGCAGCGGCTTCCCCACAGACCTTACATGGAAAAACATACTATCAAATGTCTAAGTTAAATCATAAAGAGAGATTTATAAACACCAGATATTAGGCTTGTCCAATACGGATATAAATAAAGTAACTAATTATTCCTTCTATATCAAAAATCCATTCTTTAATCACTAGAACATATTTACAGTTACATTCATATATAAACAATAATAAAGTGGTATGGTCTTGCACCTGATCGCTTTCTCTCCCCCTATAACCGTCACAACCACAACTCAAAGTCTTACCGCCTACAGTAGCGATGGTAAACAGAGCCCTTCCTAAGATCCCAACCTCTGTTCACCACGAATATAATAGGAGCAGTAAATAGTAAAGTAAAGAGTGAAATGTAGGTTGAGCGGCTGTTCCATGGTTGGTCCAGGCTGGGGAGAAAACAAAAAAACATCGTCATGCCCACGTCACGTCGTCTTTATGCCCGTTCCTTAAGTAACTTCACAGTGCAATAATATATAATACAATCAAAGATATATATACATATTTCATAACATAACATAACATATAATGAACTTTATAACATCTAAATTAACACATTAGATAGAGAAATACCAAGACATGAAACTTGTTGAAAGGAAATGTAATGTCGATGGTAAGCTACAGAAAAGTCACACAATATCAGCGGGTTGGAGCTGTCAGGTAACTGTGTTAGACAGAGATTGATGTGGTATCCTTGAGGTACAGAATGCCACAAACAACTGACCTATTTGATGATAATCGAATAACCTTCCTATTCAAAGTTTCGTGTGTCGCCAATTCGGGTCACTCAGAAAACTGTAATTCAATTATTATACTCGTGTTAATATACAAATTCCTTGAAGGTATATATCCAAATGGTTCTGGGCCATAATATGTTACTGGATGCTGGTTGCTGGGTGCTGGGAGTGATTTGATTATAAATAATTAATGGATCATCAAATGTCACCAAAATATTGAGTAATAGGGTAAAGGCAGAAGGGGAATCAGAGGAGAGTGAACGACCAGCCAAGAGAGGAGGACGAGCCGTAATAAGATCTGTGCCACTGATAAGGTACAAGAGCTCAACGTCCAGGTGATGTATACAATTTTTATTTATTTATTATGGCAAGACTGAAGGAAGATAATGTTATTCAGAGTGTAAATTATACTAAATGAATTAAGATCAAGTATAAAACTGGTTGAATTAAGGATAAACTAGAGGTGTACTGAGAAGAATTTATGTCCTGTGCCAGCCATGCCCTTCACACCTACTGTATACGTTGTGACCTTGGTGAGGTGACGTACAGGGGTTCAAGGTTAAATCGCCATATATCTTACATAGCTACAGTATTCCTCCTGTCAACTGTATTTGTTACCTGTAATGCAAGATCCACCAGGCAGCTTCCACAAACATAACGTGATGAAATGACGCATGGATATATAGATGCACACACACACACACACACACACACAGTGAATTCCGCACCTGTTTGACCATTTAAACTAATAGAGAGTGTAGTGGTGTAATGGTGCGTGTGTGTGTCGAATCAGGGCTACACTCCCCAGCATACACGGCACAGTCAGAGCCATTATGAGCCTCGCATTGTTTACTTGGTGATGGTATGGCTTGACCAGTGACCCACCTGCTGATTCACCTGGCCGTGAATTTGCAGGTAAAAGGTGATACAGGTGATGATGACTAAGGAGAGAAAAATACCCAAGAAAAAGTAGCCGACGACGAGGAATAGAAAAAAATAAAGAAAATGAAGGATGTGAAGAAAAGATAAAATAAAATAGAAAGAAATATAGACAAAACTGAACACTGAAAATGATGGAAAAAAAAACATATTTTATAACTCTTTTCACAACTCACTACAACTAACCAAATTTTAATTCCCCAATCTGACTTATCCAGGCGTAACTCAAAGACTTCACAACAGGTAATCATATAAGATAATTAGAATGTATTTAGATCACTAACAATACCTCAGTGACCCCAGGTAGATCTTGACGTGGGATGAGAATTGAGATGAACGTAATCAATTTGTAGTTTAAAGGAGTTTTTTTTTTACTTTGTTTAATCTTTACACCGTCATTTACCTTAAGGAACAGTCATAATACGGTGATGTTTACTCTGTTGGGAACCACAAAATGCGTATATCTCTGTTTAAACCTAGAAAACGCGCTTAATATCATCATAAATAACATCATAGCAACAATGAACGTCCAATCATACTCTATACCTCAACTCATTCAGTAATTTTAATAAGAATTACCTTACGCTAAACGCTCCCACCATCTCCCCTCCCCTCCCACTGGTGTGACGTCTCATTTTTCAGTGTTTTGGAAAGTTTCATGGAAGTATTTTTTCACTCAATAAAATCTTAGCACACACACACACACACACATACACACACACACATACACACACACACATACACACACACACATACACACACACACTTTTTAGTCTACAATATTTTTTGGAGTTGTTTCTGATTAAAAGTTTTTTGTAGTTTTCATTTAGGTTTCTTGTAGTTGTTGCTGAGTAAGTATAATAGTTTAAGAGTTATAAGTGCTTGTAGGTGAGTGTTGTAGATGATTATGTACGTAAGTGAGTGTTATGACTGTTTTTTGTTGGTGACTGTTGTAGGTGACTGTTGTAGGTGACTGTTGTAGGTGACTGTTTTAGGTGACTGTTATAGGTGACTGTTACAGGTGACTTTATAGATGCGGCACCATGACCTGCAATAACTGTATAATTAACTGGGTCATATCTCTGGGTTTTAATTCTCTATATTCTTTTCTCTCGACATTTTATAGAACACCTCGTGGCTCAGTGTGAAGACGATGAACACCTCATCCCAGCCTCACTCTGGTGTTCCCCCTGCTATCTGAAGGTGCTACTACTGAACATTATTAACCACCTGCCCAAGATAAACGTCTGTCTGATGGATTGGTGGATTTCAGCGTCTATTTATAGGTTTTTGATTTCATGTCGTTTTTTATCTCCCTCTACTCACCAACCTCGCTGTTTCTTACCCAAAATCTCAACACTTAAAAGAAAGGAGAACGTGGGTTCCTCGAGGGGGTTTGTATTCGTATAAACACTGGATGATAGTTGACAGCATAAGATTTTAACCCCAGAAAATCACAGTTCGTATCTTGTTTCGGTTAATTTAATATCACTGTACAGTAGAATTGAGCTGTTTTACTAAAGTGTTCTTTTTTTCAGTTTTTGTGTTGGTAAGTTGGCTCTGGTAGGTAGGTGGCCTGACTGATGACCATCGTGGATGGTTCGTTGAGACGCTGCTGAGACGACCATGCTGATGTGATAGTATTTACACTACGAATATTCTAAGAATCCATGCCTACTCTCTGGTGGTGTGGGTGGGATGTGGGCGAGGGGCGGCAAAGGGGGCGGTGTCGCGCGTGCGTGAAACCCCACATGGGGCGGGGCTGATTCTCCTAACAAGTTTATAAGACGCGAGCACCTCAACTGACCCGCAAACGGTCCTGCACCACGTCGCCACCACCACCGTCCCGAGCCCACCCGATCCCTGGAGGTGACTGACTGTGACAGAGACAGAAAGAGAAATCGAGAGAGACAGGGACGAAGTGTTGTGTTGAGATCAGGACGCTCTCCGATACCACTCCTGCTACTTCAGACACACACACAAACACACATACTCACACGCACGCACGCACACACACACGCACACATACACGTGACTAGGAATAGTCTTTCTGAACTAACCCCGCGAGGTGAAGTCGCCATGGCCGCCACTGCCACTTCTGCCTGTTAACTTGACCTAGTTATCTCGGCGGCGTGACTGGTGACTGTGGGGCGGTGTTGTTATCCAGCTGGTAACGAAGACATGGGCGTAAGTGTGAAGACCTTCCTGGCCGTGCTGGGGCTGGTGCCAATGGCCCTCAGCTCCCCCATGGTGGCTGGAAACGTGGCCACCAACGAGCTCGTCGACACCCCCATCCAGGTGAGACACCTACCTGACGTGGCACCTGCAACAGTCATTAGAGACTGTTATGATAGTACAGGATTTATGGGAAGTCATCTGTTCAGGTGTTGGTGAATCTTTGAGCTATCTGCTCACAGGGGTTGGTAAATGAAGTAACAGATTAATCAGGACGGAATCATTGCAGCAACACCGTCTCTGGTGATAACTGGGGTAACTATTGATTAAGAAAGGACAATTCTCATAATAAATTGTTCACAGTTTCTCATAATTTAGGTAAACATTTTGCCATGTTGGGAGGATCCTGACAGTCGCCTCCTTAAAGGGATTTTTAGGAATTCAAGATATAATAATCTGGTCAGCTGTGTGGAGGACTCAGGTAATTACCTCGCTAATATTTTAATGACTTAGGGACGAAGGCTTCCCAGATATTGATTATTTGGCCACTGACTCACGCTAGTAGCTATTTTGCATTAATTGCTAGTGGGTCAACTGTCGATGTTATTTTCTCTTTTCTAAGATATGGATGCTTTAGGAAATGTTTACGTCAGGGCTGGATAATGAATAAATATTTAGCTCAAATCTGGATGGTTTGGGGAGAGTGGACAGTGAGGGAGGAATGTGTCAGGTGAGGATGATCTAGAGACAAGGTGATCACGTAGGCGGGATTTAAAAAGCATGTTTCTTGGTTATAAATAATCTATACAACTTAAAATTTTGCTCAGGTGTTGACACTACTAAGACCAGGTGTGACGGATGATAACAAGACAGAGTGTTGTCATACAAGGATTAATTAACTAAACAGCGACAACGACTATACATAAATAGCTTCATACATAACCTAACCTAATTTAGGTCTAATTTGGCTGTTTTGTGAAGATAAAAGGCGTCTTATATAAAGCAGAATAAGTCTTACTGTATACGAGTTAATTTCTGTTTAAGTTGTAATAACAAACTTAAACTATCTCTATTTGGTAAAAACGTTAGTTACTGTTTAACGCTTTATCGGCAACTATCCTTAGTTAGTGTTAAATATATACTATATATATATATATATATATATATATATATATATATATATATATATATATATATATATATATATATATATATATATATATATATATATATATATATGAGAATGATTATAAATAAATATCCATATACATCTAGACGTTGAAGTAGCAAACAATCTCTCAGGTATACAACTAATCCAAAACTCGCCCACGTACAGTATATAATATACACAATAATCAGTAATACATAAATAAATAAGTAGAAAAGACAGGTGAGAATGGTGGCTTGTATTACCAGGTGGTAGACACGACACACTCACCTGGCCAGGTAACAGAGGAATGTGGTTAAAGGGATGTGTGTGTAGCAGTGAGTGTCTGAGCTGGTTTTTGTCCTTTAACAATTAATGAGTGGTAAGCCCTTAGGGCCCAGACTTGTGTGTATGTGGCCGAGTTTTGGTGTATAAGTATGTATGTTCGTGAGTAAGAGGGTAAGAGGTTGCAAGTTCGAGTTTATGTATGGGTCAGGAGTAAGTGTATCTGTCTGAGTGTTTCAGTATATAGTATGTAAGAGCGCTAATGGTTGTCGAGTAATGCAATTTATTTACAACATGTAACCTCACACATCATCCACCAACCTCATGCTTAACCTCACACATCATCCCTAACCTCACACATCAACCCTAACCTCACACATCAACCCTAACCTCACACATCAACCCTAACCTCACACATCATCCACCAACCTCATGCTTAACCTCACACATCATCCCTAACCTCACACATCAACCCTAACCTCACACATCATCCCTAACCTCACACATCATTCCCACACTGCACATCAACCCTAACCTCACACATCATTCTAACCACACACATCAACTCTAACCCCACATCATCCCTAACCCTCATGCTTTTAATCATCCCCATCCTCATACATCATTCCTAACCTCACACATCAACCCCAACCTCACAAATCATTCCTAATCACACATTGTCCCTTGCAACCTCACACATCATCCCTAACCTCACACATCATCCCTAACTTCACATCATTCCTAACCTCACACATCAACCCTAACCCCACACATCAACCTTCTAACCCTGCTAACATCATTCCTAACTTCTGCCACATTGTCCCTAACCTCACATCATTCCTAACTTCACACATTGTCCCCAACCCTCACACATCATTCTAACTTCACACATTGTCCCCTAACCTCACACATCATTCCTAACTCTCACACATTGTCCCTAACCTCACATCATCCCTAACGTCACATCATTCCTAACCTCACATCATTCCTAACTCACACATCAGTCCCTAACCTCACACATCATCCTTAACCTCACACATCATTCTAACCCCCACACATCGTCCCCTAACGTTCACATCATCCTCAACCTCACACATCATTCCTAACCTCGCCACATCAACCCTAATCACACATCATCTAACTCACACATCAACCCTAACCCTCACACATCAACCCTAACCTCACACATCATCCCTAACTCTCACACATCAACCTAACCTCACACATCATCCTCTTAAACCCCACACATCATCCCTAACCCCACATCATCCCTAACCTCGCACATCAACCCTAACCTCACACATCATCCCCTAACCTCACACATCAACCAACCTCACACATCATCCCTAACTCCTCGCACATCAACCCCAACCTCACATCAACCCTAACCTCACACATCATCCCTAACCTCACACATCAACCCTAACCTCACACATCATCCCTAACCTCACACATCATCCCTAACCTCACACATCATCCCTAACCTCACACATCATCCCTAACCTCACACATCATCCCTAACCTCACACATCATCCCTAACCTCACACATCTATGATAATTTTTAACTTTGTTTTTCCTTCTTTATCTTGTATCTATTTTAACGCCTGTCTCTCTAACTGCTAACATGTGTGTGTGTGTGTAATTATATGTTGAGTATTAACATTGTAACTAAACGAGGTAGGTTATTTGCGTTAACTCATAGTAAACAAAATTAGTTTATCTTGTATGCCAGGTTAATTCTACTGTGTTGGTACCGCCGTTATCATTATCGTTGTTTTTGTCGTCGTCATCATCATCATCATCATCATATTACGCCTCCAATACAAAAATCATAATAAAACCCCAAAGTTTTATTAGAAAAAACAACTTTTGTTGATGGAGGGAATCCTGTACGGGCTCCTCCGGGCTTTGTTTACACGTAACTTCAGGTGATTGAGCTTCTCTTGGCGGGAAATTTTCTGAAGCAGCTGGGATTTGGGATCAGGTGTTGGCCTTTTATAATAACAATCTGGTAGAGAGAGAGAGAGAGAGAGAGAGAGAGAGAGAGAGAGGGGAGAGAGAGAGAGAGAGAGAGAGAGAGAGAGAGAGAGAGAGAGAGAGAGAGAGAGAGAGAGAGAGAGAGAGAGAGAGAGAGAGACTTGAGGCTGGAGGCGGTTGGTTATCATATTAAATTCTTAAATAAGGTGGCATTAACCCCTTAAGTATAATGGTATACACCCCTTGAGTACGGTGGCATTAACCCCTTAAGTATAATGGTATACACCCCTTGAGTACGGTGGCATTGACCCCTTAAGTATAATGGTATACACCCCTTGAGTAGGATGGCGTAAACCCCTTGAGTACGGGGACCTTGCAGTCATCATACTCAAGGGGTTAACTTATATATTCCCTCTAATTTTTTGTTTCAGTTTTATTTATTTTATGAAAAGTAAAACGGAAAATATGTATAAAAAATGACGAAAGATTAATTTAATATAGAAATTAATTAATCAGAAAAACAGTAATTTCCATTTCCTCTGTAGGACCTAAATACAATGATGTTTTCAGAATGTATTTGAATTTACAGAGATTTTTAATCCTTCCTACTGAAAGAAACTCCTTTTAAAAAAAATCTTATTCTAAACTTAAGATTCGTTTGGGTCAAAAGTCTGAATATCATGGCGGTCACCAAGATTAATTTAAATACCAGACCGAAATAGAGGAATGGTTTATATAAGGAAATTCTAAGTGATCCTATTTTACCATCTTTAGAATCCACCTCATAGGGTAAAAAAAAGTTTCTGTCCTCTTATGAATATTAAATTTCAGGTTAAGTTGTTTCGTATAAAAGAACTGACATAGACTCGTCATAACTCAGAGGGTCTCGGTGGCTGTGAGGACCCAATCCCCCCCCCTCCCTCTTCCGCCTCTCCCAGTTCTCTTGACGCGTGGAGTTTTTTCTTTTATCTCTATTATCTCGTCATTATTCCTATTATCATTGTCAATAATCCTTGTCTCCTCCAACAACTTCAATATCTCAACCTTCAATAATTCATCATCACTTAGAATCTGTCTTCGCCATTATCTTCACCGTCTCATTATGTTTTAGAATCTCTGTATCTCTCAGCGTCTCCAACACTAAGCTTCTCCAAATACAGAACTCAGCTTAAATTAAGTATCTCCAACACAGAACCGCTCTATCATTATACATCTTCAACACAGAATATCTCCATCATTATATACCTTCAACACAGACCCTCTCCATCATTATACATCTCCAACACATAACAACTCCATTATTATCGATCTCCAACAAAATGCCTCTCCAACACAGTATAAATCTATCATATAAAGACCATCACCACCACCACCCTTCCCTCTCCATCACCAGGGCGCTTCATCACCCAACCGAGGAGACGATACACGGACAAACATCGGCTGTCTGACGCTGGTGTGAGTGATTCAGTTTTTAGGGAAGATAAACAAATTATGAACCACAACCCATTCTACCTTATTGAATATTCCTTGATAGGTAACAGGTGTGTGTGTGTGTGTGTGTGTGTGTGTGTGTGTGTGTGTGTGTGTGTGTGTGTGTGCGGCTACAGGGGCCCCGCATGATCACTATCACCAAGGTACACATCTGCCACACTATGCTGGGTTATCGAGCATCAAGTGTCATTAACCTTTACTCTCAACATCTGTGGTAACAAG